AGTAAAGATGAGTCGGATATGTACTGCAGCGACAGTTGAGTGACTTCGCCTGCCACAGCCGTGGGTGGGACTCGAAAAGGAAACGAGTTGGACATGGGATTGAAGGTGACACAGAGGAGATCGCGTGAGGAGGAGATGAAAGCTTGTCAGCAATCATGGAGGCAGTTAAAAAAGGACTGCAGAGAATCGACTGGAATGAAGATGTACTGCTGAAACCCTATTTTCAACTCGGAATGCAGGAGAATAGCAAAATTTAATAATCTAGAAAGCATTGAAACCTTAGTAACTTGTTCAACACTGGATAGGAGAGTAAACTACGTTATATATGGGAGCATTGCGCCTTTTAGGTATGCACTTATCAATTAATTTACAGGAATCGAAATCCAAACACTAACATTAACTAACCTCTAGCTAGCTTAATGCATTGAGGCTGCTCGACGCACACCCTCAATTTCTATGCCTTTGTAGACAAATACGTCGACAAGTCCCTTACTAATTATATTGCCTTTACAGTGTAAATGAAAAAAAGTAGATTATACCTCTCATAAAAAAGAATGATTTCATTTCGAGAAATAGAAACAACATTTCGCCTTAATTGGTTCCAAAGATCGCTACATTTATTCATTCCTTGAAAATATGACTAAACTATTAATTTTAAAGAGTGATTAATGATAAATGTGCGTCTGTGGCACAGTGGTTAGGCCTCTCACCGACTATGCACATGGTCCAGGGTTCGATCCCTCGGCAGACGCACACCTGATATCTATGGTCGACCTGCGAAATTTGTGCTACCGATATCGTATGCTGAAAATTCCATACCTGTACCGAAAAATACGGTGTGGAATCAAGCAGTAATTAAAAAATAAATAAATAAATAAAGAATATTCTTTTCGATAAATTCGTCGTCGGATTCTACAGTTATATGACCATTAAAAATAAAGAATTATTGCTATATATATACGACTACAATTTAAAGATGATACACCATGGCGGAAGCTCTCGCCATATACTTCGAAAAGCCGGAGCTATGTGTTCAAAAGAAACTAGTTCAGCCTTTACAACTACCATGAACCTAGTTCGGTATGTTCCCTTCCTTATCCTTCACTTTTTTTGTTTTGTTCTCTGTGTGTGTAATTTTCTCTTTGTCTTCATTCAATTCATCCCATTTTTTCACTTATAAAATCAGTTATTTTAAGTTTGTTTCCGTGTTCCTCCTGATCACACTTGTTATCCGTTTAGAATAACCATTTTACAGTTATATTCTAATCCTGTGTAATTTTTTTGTCTCTAAGCCTCTTGTAATCTTTATTCACGCCTCCTAACTTACATTGCAAGTTGAAAATTTTGATTTCAATTTGTTTTCATGCTCACTTTGTTCACACCTGTAATTCGTTCTATTCCTGTGTAACCTTCGTCTCTAAGCCTCTTGTAATTCATATCAAGTTGAAAATAATTATAAAAACATTTATTTTAAGTTTGTTTCCATGCTTTTCCTGTTCACATTTATAATCCGTTTTAAAAAATTTGCAATTATATCTTAATCCTGTGCAATTATTTTGTGTTTCTAAGGCTCTTGTAATCTATATTCACACCTCCTAAATTCCATTTTAAGTTAAAACTATTATATCAATTTTGTTTCCGTGCTCACTTTCTGCACACCTGTAATTTGCTAAATTCCATGTAATTTTGTTTCCAAGGCTCTTGTAATCTATATTCGCACCTCCTGATTCCCATCTCAAGTTGAAAATTATTATTTCAATTTTGTATCCATGCTCATTTTACACACTTGATATCCGTTCTAATCCTGCGTAATTTTTGTTTCTAAGCCTCTCGTATAACCATATCTAGTTGGAAATAATTATCACCTTTTATTCGCTGTCATAATTATGTAGAATCAAACAAGAATTGTCTCCATGTAAAATTATGTATTTAAATGCGATTGTACAGCTTTTGAAAATGAAATCGCCGAAAAGATATCTTTGCTGAACTTCTTATTCTTCTCAGTCGAAAATAATTATCACCTTTTATTCGCCTTTAAAATTATTTCTCCAGTTATCAAATATTAATTTTGCATACATTGTAACTGCTTTCTATTCCTATGCAATCTTGTCTCCAAACCCCTTGTAATCTATATTCGTACCTTCAAACTTTCATGTCAAGTTGAAAATTATTATCACCTTCGTTACTATGTTGAATTAAACAAATAATAATTGTATCCATGTAAACTAATCTCTATAAATGCGATTCTACAGTTTTTGAGGATGAATTCGCCGAAAAGATATCTTTGCTGAACTTCCTGTTCTTGGGTACTTTCCACGATTTAAAATAATAACCAACGAGTACAGAAAATAGATTCAAAGAACCTTTAATGGTAGTAAGCTGCAGCTTATTTTCGCACTCAGCCAGTTGTGATTCATAAACTGAAAGATGAAACACCTAGGCTAACCAACACTTATTGTTTCTATCAATCTGCGCATCATAAAGAGCACCTCAAACAAGCTACAGACCTTCATTAGCAGCTAGCTGTCTTCGCTAAATACTCAAGATCAGATGGCCAGAAAAGATCAGCAACAAGGATCTCTGGGAGCAAACCAATCAGGAACCGATTGTGAAACAAATAAGCAGGAAGAAATGGAGGTGGATTGGCCATACTCTGAGGAAACCATTAAGTGACATCACTAGACAAGCCATTGCTCGAGTGGAACCCGAATGCAGTGGGAAACGGCGAGTTGTTCGTCAGTGTAAGGGTGACTTGGAGGAGGTCATGTGAAGAGGAGATGAAAACGTGTGGGCAGACTTGGAGCCAGGTGAAGACTCTAGCAGAGAACCGAACACAATGGAAACGCGCGGCTGAAGCCCTATGTTCCTCTAGGAATTAAAGGAAATAATAATAATAAATAATAATCAACTCCTCCTACGGAGATCAGTCATATTAATCGTTGCTCTGGAAACATAATTTTTCGAGATCGAGAACACCTTACCAGCTCTATAATAGATCACCTCGTCTAAACATGCCACAAAGCCAGCAGCATTGAAGAGTCTTTCTATGTCATCTATCAAATAAATTTTCTAAGGCCTCCAAATACCGAAAACTCCAGACGGTAGAGGCGATCGCAAAGGAAACAGGTCCAGACAGTCACTATTGCTACCCAAATATGCTCTCGAACCTATAAATTCATGAATTCTGTCTTACCTCCCTTAATTTCTCTGATATTCAGTCAAGCCAGTTTAGTGTTACATTGATGTGTATGATGTCTCTCTTACTGATGCTTTTGAGCCATGATCTGTCGATATTATTGATTCAATGTAAATTAAAATATTAACGTTGCTAATAAGAATAATTCTTTAATTATTATGTCATTCATATAGTTGTGGAACCTGATAAAGACGTGGTTATCGAAAAGAATATTCTTTGTCTATTGATTAAGCTTTCAGATTTTTTAATGGTCATCTTCAATTAAATAAACTATCAACCAAAACATAAAGAAAGCATGACTCTTCACCGTTTATTTTTGATTGCACACTAGTCAGTAACTAGTGTAATGTGTCTAGTCCTATCTTCGCTGCAGACTGAATTCTATCAGTCAAGCTTGCAGTGTGGCCACGATGCTAGGTGGGTCGCCATCACGGTGCACTGTGAATTGTTGGTATTAGATGGTTGGAGGCAATCGGCCACAGGAAGCCTTGGACCTAGGTTTCGTGCTAGTTGGCAATCATCAGCAACCTTGAAGGAACTCATGTGTCTTCTGAGATTCGAACCCGCGTCACCCAGTTAGTACTGCAGTCAGAGAAGTTACCACTGAGCTATTCACGCTCGCGATTGCCCCCCTGTAGGACTGTATTGGATATTTTTGATTGCACACTAGTCAGTAACTAGAGTAATGTGTCTAGTCCTATCTTCGCTGCAGACTTAATTCTATCAGTCAAGCTTCACCGTTTGCAGATCATATTTAACTAAACGTTCGAAAAAAAACGTACAGTACATTCATCAACTATATTCGTCGTAAGCAGAAGCCGAAATCATTTTCTAACAGTCAGTTGTGAATAAAATGATGACATGACGCACTGTTTAGGGCATTTCGAGTGTCAAAAAAGAATTCTACAGTTGAATAACCATATAAAAAGCGTAACAACTAATATATCCTAAGAATCGGTGTAGAATATCCCCGACAGACAGACACAGAGTATCTACTTCACCCTGATTTCGGTGAAAGTTATACATATTTTAACGAATGGAATGGAACAGCATGAAGGATTTGATTTATTTCAAATTTGATCACAGATTGATATCAGTTAGAATACTAATGAAGAAACAGGAAGTCAAAGATAGCTGTTTCGTACCAGTTTCGAACTCTTCAACAATAAGCACTCATGAATCCCAAACTAGGACGAAACAGTACTCCTTAGTTATCAAAGGTTCTCTAACTGAAATTATTCTGGGATCAAACTTAAAACAAATCAGATCCTTACATAGTAACTCTTGAAAATCAGTTTGATGCTCGCTAGTGACGACAGGTTGCATGATAAAGTTTCCTGGAGCCTGAGGACAAATACTCACACTGAAATCGCTAGTTGACAAAAGGTTAGAATTCATGAGCCGCTGGATTCCGACCCAGATGGTTGACTGATTAACGAATTTCGCCTCGTGACCACCCGAAGGTCCCACCGGGTTCAAACCTCGGTGACTGTATACTGATGAAGAGTCTCAAACTAGGACAATACAGCTGTCCAATAGCCCTCCCCCCCTCCCAGCTAGTTTTTAATAATTCTCTAACTGACATCAATCCATAATCAAACTTCCAAGAAAAGAAAAAATCCAATAAATTACTCTGATTGAATGACTACCGGAATATCCAAATTTGCAGCAAATAGCAGCTGTCTTATATACCTAAATATGTAGCTTTTTGAAATACAGGTACAGTTGTGTTGTGTGAGTGTGTGCACGCGAGAGAGAGAAAGTGTTTCTCTCCTTTAGAAAGAAAACCCACTTCATACATGTATAAATTGCAAAAATTGTATTACAAACTATACACAATAGAGCTTTTCCAGAAGAGCATAAAGAAGATTTTATCATTTGACAAGAAATGCTCACACACATGCACACACACATAAATGAGCAATTAACAAATATACCTACATACACACACATACATTGAGTACTGAGTTGTAGAAAAATATGTTGTATACAGTGTGAAACAAAGAAGAAGGGGAAATAAAAAAAAGAATGTTTATATCGTTGTGTTGTCTAGGGTGGATCATCAGACATCATTCTAGTGTCAATAAAAGTAGGTGTGTTGTCAGAAGAAAGAAGAAAAGTAAGCATTATAATAGAAGTTCTAAAGTCAAGGGGATAGATGAATCCATGTGGAAATTCGACCCCCCTTCCACACACACATACGCACATACACAGCCAAAGAAAGATTAAAACACTCAATATACATACATACAAATGTTTATACAGATATATATATGGACGGAAGCGTCTTGAAGATTGTTTTCAAGGCGAATTTTACAACTCAGTCTTTGTGGAGTAATCATCTGAAAATGAATAAAAATAAAATATTAGGATACAGTTATTATTTCATATATTTGCTTTTTCGTATATATATATATATATATATATATGAATGATTATTCGGCTGACTTTAACATTATAATTATAAGAATGCTAAGTAGTGTTAATAATCCTAAGCATCTTCTTCGTGAAAACATCCAATTTGACATTTGCATGGTGAGATCTTTAGACGACGATGACGACAGTTTAGTGATTAGCTGGAGTAACAGGCAATAAATCCTTCTAAGATAACGCTTTTTGTAGCTTCTGTATATAATCTTGACCTAGAATGTCATTGTCTAACGATATAATTAGAAGTTAACTGGTGGATGGTGACTAGCAGTGGAATCCAGGATGATGTTACCACCGAGGGAAAATCATCACTCACTGCAGAATGCAGGTACATCCAGTAGCTGACGAGTCCCAAATAGGACGAAATGCGCGTTATCCTGGATTCCACACTGCTAGTCACTATTCACCAATTACCTTCTAATAACATGCCAAGATATCGTGGAAGCATCTGCACAAGAAGCCAACATGTCAACCTGAGACCGACCACTTCAGTCTGATCAATCAATCGACGGTAAAATCTAAAAATTGTTTGCAAAATCCCCCCTCAATGATCTAATCAGAATATTGATACTAACTTTGTAGGTTTTTCCATCTTTTCTGCTAGATTAAATATCAATGTTCTGATATTTGTATAAAACATGTTGACTTAATTCGACACAAATGTCAAGTCAGTCCTTCTATACGGATCAACAACTTGCACTGCACGTGAGTAACGAAAAAATTTCCAACAAGTTACCGACTCTTATCAACAGCTGCCTGCCTTCGCTGGCTGGTTCCATTCTGAAGATCAGATGGCCAGCCAGCCAAAGACAATTAGCAAGAAGAAACTCTGGTTGGCAACAAACCAACAGGCAAGAGCCGATCGTTCAACAAATATGTAGGAGTAAACGTAGACGGATCGAGCGTACGTTGAGGAAGGACGTCGTCGATTGACATCGCGTGCAGTGAATGCCCATCGCTAGAGTGGAATCTGAATAGGAAGCGACGAGAGGGTCGTCAGTGCAAGGGTGATATGGAGGGGATCGTGTGAGAGGGAGATAAGAGTTTGGGCAATCGTTGACCCAGCTGAAGAGGACGGCAGAAAACAGAACAAAGTGGGGATCTGTTGTTGAAGCCCTATGTTCCACTCGGAACCCAAGAGAACAATAACACAGTAATGATAATAATAATAGTAATGTTGACTTGATCCTTATTGTTTGTCTTCGTCACTGTTTAATCTCTAACTTCAATATTTCGCTTTATCGATGTGTGATATATTGATGTGTTGTTTATTGATGTGTTTCTGTTTTGAGTGAACCAAGGTGATTTTGAATAAGGACTGCCTTCGGTAAACCTGAGTGTAAGGTTCCTGTGGATAGAGTTTTGATCGCACCTTGTTGATAATATTCTACTTGATTATAATCTACTTCTCACAGTTGAATTTTGGTTAACTCACTTTTTTTCTCTACAGTACTTGTTTTGTGCTTAAGAAATTCAGCTTGTCTGTATATAGCTGTCTAACAGCACTATTGAGATAATTTTGGGTTTTTGATGTTATTATTGTCACACCGGGTTCGTATCCCGGCTGGGCCCCAGTACGTCGGTGGCACAGTGGTTGGGACGCTCGCCCACTATGCACATGGTCCGAGGTTCGATAACTGGCCACTGGACGCACTCCTTTACCTCGCTAAGCCAGTACTAAGACTGGTAAAGCGGAAAGGTTGGACCTGAGGCTAGCAACCCCATCCTGTAAAAATTAACACTGCTACAGAAACTTCAAGCCTTTAGCTTGAAGCCCTATGTTCCACTGGGAACGTGAAAGAAAAAGAGCGTCACACCGAATAGAACCACATGTATTTTACAGCGAATAATCATCATCACTTTACGATCTTTGGAGAGTTTTGTGACGGTAAGGCGTCGTACATACTGTAGCGTGAATAATATTTATAGATTTTCAAAGAGAGAGTGAAATGTGTAAATGAAGGTTTCAGATCTTTACAGTATACCAGCTAAATATAGTGGTTTCATTATTTCAAACAAAGAAATAGCGTTTACGTATTCTATAAAAAAACTGAGGACAATAGCGCATTTCTTAATTACACAGATTTCTCGTACAAATGTCTGAATATTCATTCTGTGTTTAACCTTATCCAAATATTGTATACATATACTTTATAATAAACAAAATTAAAAAACAGGAATGGAATAGTTTTAGTTGTTCAACTAATGTCAAAATATATCATGAACGCCAGCAGTGAACACATCACATTTCTGTGAAAAACAGAAAATCATCCGCAAAACTGAGACTAAAGGAGGAGGAGGGTGACGAATGAGCACTGCTGAAAGGAGTCAGGGACTAGAACGAATAAAGAAGTTAATCATATGCTTTAATGAGATATTCACTGGGATAAACAGACACATTCATACATAGACTAAATGAAGATTCATGCATTCAATCATTCAATGTTTCGATCATCCACTCAGATGTAATATATGACACCTTTTGTTGAACAGTATCATTGTTCAATGATTCTGTGTACGTTAAACTTGCAATACGAATACCGACTATATTATTCCTTTACGTTCCCAGTGGAACATAGTGTGGTGAGAGATGGTTGCCAGCCAAAGTTGGTAGACAGTAATTGACGTCAATGTTTATGTCGCAAATATTAGTCATGTGAAAACAAGGTCAAAGATGGACAGCAGACTTCGCGTAGGCGGATACAGTTAGCATATGGATGATCTGACACAGCCACAAAGAGATGCAAGGTTAACTTTCTGTGAGAAACAACCAATCAAAAGACTGTATTTTCTACTAACAATAATCTAAAATAATGTACACTAAAATCTATAAATATGTGTTGATTTCCTTAATAAACGATCTGTTGCCTGGCCCTTGTCTTCTGTCGTTACAATAGGGCTTCAAGCTACAGTCTTAAAGTTTCGTTAGCAGTGGTATTTATTTTTACGGGATGAGGTTGCTAGCCTCATGCCCAACCTTCCCTGTTTACCAGTCTTACTACTGGCTTGGCGAGGTAAAGGAGTGCGTCCAGTGGACTGGGATCGAACCTTGAACCACAAAAGGAGTGGTTGGTGAGCATTCCACCACTATGCCACCGACGTAAATGATAAGATGCCGAATACATAAAATGAACCTGTTTTATATTCAGTTGCATTTGGTGTTTAAGAAAATCAAAACAAGATTTTGCTATAAACGTTTCGTTGTGTAAGCCACAGCTGCTTCTTCAGCAGATTTATTCGGATTTTTATTAATCATCAAAATATATAGTCAAAAATTTTTACATAAATTGAAGTCAGTTAACTTGAAGGTCATTTGTCCATGGACATTTGTACCAATAGAAATATGTAAGCAGTCATCACATATATTGGTAATGACTAATGTCAAATTGTTATTGTTTATATTTTTCTGTAGTTGATTTGTAAGGATTAGTTTTGTATGAGTGTGTGAGTGTTTGTGATTTGTCATATGGAAAAGACGCCAATTCACATGTGATAAACATGATAATACCTTTTTAAAAAGGTCATGGAGGCTCATAGAGTTTTTGTTGTTTTTTTCATCTGTCTTGCTTCATAAGAGTTTGCCATATAGGTGATAAGTCTATCCTTTCTTTCCTATTCACTGCATTCAATGTGGTTAAAATATGCAAGGCTCCAGAGGTCAGTCTTTCTTAGTGTGGTGAATCAAAGCCTCTACCTAGAATTTCGACACTGTCGAAATCAATCTTATGTCCGCTGTCTATCACATGCATTGCTATAGCTGATCTTTTTTCTAGACTTATTAATTCTATTTCATTTCTAGGTGGACGTTTCGTGCATAGTCTATGTTCATTTACTCTGACCTTCACCTGTCTACTGCTCTCCCCTATATAGCATGCTTCAAATTCTGAACACTTTATCTTATAAACACAATTACTTTGTGACATTATGGGAACCATATCCTTGACATTCACCAAAGCTTTCTCCAGAGAATTAGAGTGTTTGAAATAGCCTTTAATATTATGTGAAGCAAATAGTCTTTGAAGTTGTTCAGCTGTGTCCTTTCGATATGGAAAAGCTACTAGATAATATTATCAATAAAAGGAGCACAAGGGAAAACTGAAACCAACCACAAAGCCAGCGTTGAGGAATCCTTCTCTATAATCTACCGGGTGCCAAATAAATTGCCAAAATCATCGAAGCACCGCATCGCACAAATAGCGGAGGCTATTGCAATTCGCCTCAAACAACCAGTGCTCTGTGTTCAAAAGAAGCAAGTCCCGCCACTCACTACTTCTGCTCTGGTCTTCAATAGAGACTATAAATTCATGAATTTGTAATATTATCTTTCCTAATTTTTCTGACATTCAGCTTATTTTTTCATGTTGATGTTATTGAGCTGTAATCCATTGATATTATTGATTCGATGTTATTCAAACAACATTAATGTTGTTCATAACACTAATTAATTCTACGAGTTGATCACGGATTGATATCAGTTAGAGAACCATTGAAAACCATATGACAAATAACATGTACACACACACATACACACGCTCATACAAAATTAATCCTTACAAATCAACTATAGAAAAAAGTAAACAATAACAATTTGACATTAGTCATTACAAATATATGTGATGACTGCTTACATATTTCTACTGGTAGAAATGTCCATGGACAAATGACCTTCAAATTAACTGACTTCAATTTATGTTTTTACGAGCTGATCACGGATTGATATCAGTTAGAGAACCATTGAAAACCAGCAATGGAGTACTGGACAGTTATTTCATTCTAGTTTGGGAACTATTGGCAGTACGCACCCAAAGTGCGGGGGTTCGAACCCAGCATCCTCCGGTTACAAGGCAAGCTCGTATACCATTCAACCACTGGGACCCGATTCAACGGCCCACGAATTCAAACGTCTACTAATTCGTGATTTAGCGCGACCCCAACCAATGTCGTTGGTGGGACATCCATTCACACACGTGATATCTGGTTGAACCTCACTGGTCACGACTTCTCACTAGAATTCCAGGAAACTCCATTCTGTAGCAAGTCACTAGCAAGTATCAGATTAATATTCTCTAGTTTGGTTTGTAAGGGTTAGTTCTGTTTTTACGAGTTGATCACGGTGCGTACTGCCGATGATTCCCAAACTAGGATGAAACAGCTGTCCAGTACTCCCTGGTTTTCAATGGTTCTCTAACTGATATCAATCCGTGATCAACTCATAAAAACAAAACTAACCCTTACAAACCAAACTAAAGAATTTCAATTTATGTAAAAATTTTGACTATATATTTTGATGATTAATAAAAATCCGAATAAATCTGCTGATGAAGAAGCTGTGGCTTACACAGCGAAACGTATACAGAAAAATCTTGTTTGATTTAATCTTAAACACGCTGGGATTAATATAAATAATTTATAATGAATCAATCTGACTCGGCGCTCAAATTATTCCAGGAAGTAGGTGTTAACTTAAAATATCTAGATACGTTTGACAACCCGAATGCTTTATTTTTTGGCAATGACTATTCATACTACTTTTATTGTGTTTTGAGGAGTTTGACATTTTAAAGTCCCAATTTTCGTGGACGATTTTCTGTGTTCCACTGTGTACTATCACATCAGTTGAACAAATAAAATGGTTCCATTCAAGTTTCTTTTTGTTTTTTTTACCAATATGTTATAAGAAGATTGAGCCAAGCATATTCAGATATTTAGGTGAGAAATCAGTGTGTAATTAAGAAGTATGTTTGCATTAAAACTATATACTACTGATTGGCTGAAATGAGTAGTTGTTTATCATTCAGATGTCTTTCTATCTGAACTGAATCAAACCGAGTACATCGCTGATGAGGTCGGCTCTAAACGACAGAAATAGCCATTTGATGTTTAGATCACCTCAATCTGGATGGCTAGCAAGCAATAGCGTTTGATTACAGTGGTGTGCAACTATTCATATCGATTAATCAATCAGTAGTATGCAAATGGTATGAGGCAGATCAAACACTGCGATCGGAATAAGGTAGTGAAAATTTCACTTGTGCATATTCTAAAGTTCCTAATCCATTTGTAAATTGTTAGTTTGATTTGAGAAGTGTGTTCCTTTCCTAAGTTTTACAATTATATTATCATTATTTTTCCCTTGGGTTCCGAGTAGAACTATACGGCTTCAACAATTCATCTCCACTTTGTTCTATTTTCTGCAGTCCTCTACATCTGGACCCACAATTGACCGCAGTCTCTCTCCTTCTAGCCACACAATCTCCTCCAAGTCAACCCCGCACAGAAGACCCACTAGTCACTTCCCATTGAGATCCCACTCGGGCGATGGCCTGCATTGTGCGCTATGTCATTCGACGGCCTCCTCAACGTATGCCCAATACATCTCCATTTACTCCGACATATTTGTTGAGCAATCGGCTCTTCGTTAGTCTGTTCCTGTCCAGAGTTTCTTGCTGATAATTTTTTCTGGCCGGTCGACCGACCGGCCATTTGATCTTGAGTTTGGAGCCAGACAGAGAAGGTGGCAGCTGTTGATAAATGTCCGTAGCCTGTTAGAAATCCTGTTTGAAACACGTAGCGCAAATTTTAAACCTGTATAGAAGAACTGACCGACTTCACATTTCTGCCGAAAATCCGAATCTTGTTCCGTATGCTGGTTGAGTGCAGAAGATTCTCAAATTGGTTTTAGGTTGATGAAGGAATATCTTGTCTTTCCCATTCTGGCTGACCTGCTTTGACATCTTTATTCATTCCACCTGTGATTGAAACCGTGCTTCCTAGCCAGGTAAGTGAATGGCCTAACCTCTGTCAAATCTCTCCCACTGATAATGGTGATTGATGCTGGTTGCTATTGTTGTTGTTGCTGTTGATTATTGGGTAACTTCATCACCTCCGTCTTCTATGTCTTCACCTGGAGTCCTGCCTCAGCCGCCTGCCAGCCTCTTCAGCCAGTTTGTTGGTCTTCGCCTACCTGCAAGTCTTCGAGTTTGCGTGACATTAAACACAGTCATCATCTGTCAGTGAAGCGTATTCCTGTCTTCTCACTCCCCACGCACAGCCTGAACCATAATCCAATCCAACAAAATTAAGAATATCATCGGTGATAATTGGCAAGCAGCCAGCCAGCCTGTCTTACTCCTGTATTCACTTCGAGCGCCTCACTGAGTTTTCCATTGTGGATCACCTCTCACATGTCAGGCATTGTCATATAGCCAGCCAGCTGTCGGATGAGGTTGATAAGGACTTGGGCACTGCACGCCGTATTGTTTGAGCAGTTTCAAATTTACTTCTCGGTCAACGCTGTCTGATGAAGGCCTTTTCGAAGTCGATGAATTTGCTGAGTTAGAAGTTTGACTGCCATTCTATGTTTAGCAATACATAACAACATTATTCCTTTCTCTGAAATGACAGATACCCCATTTCAACTACTTCAGACTGAGAAATTGAGTATATTATGATCAGTCATCAGACAATAGGTTTGGCTCATTGCATGGTAGTGCATGAAAAATCTGTTCTGATGATGACGGATATCAAATGTAGCACTGAATTACAAGATAACGGCTTTAATACAACTAAAACCGACAGGCTCCTCTTGCCGATTCTAATTAGGTACTCCGAGTACAACACATGTGAACAACTAATGATACGAACTTTCTTTTTCAATTTACAAACAAATCAAAAGCATAGAAAAATAAATGATCACATACCAACTTTCAAAGTAGTATCCTCTGATGCAGTAGGAAGTGTAGAAGTCGATGGACTATCTGTAGACTTAGTCTCTTCGATTGTATGTTCTGTAGGCGGTTGTGGTGAAGACTGATAAACACGTTTCCATAATTTTTTAATTTCACGATCATAATCTACCCATTCTGGTGCAATACGCATTGCTGCTGTCAGTTTAGGTTCTTTTGTCCGTGGATTATTGCACAGATCGATTGTTTTAGCCTTTGCTAAACTTTCGTCAGAACACCAAGTTTCACACCATAGCCATTCTTGAGGTAGAGATTTGATTGGTACCTTTAATTGAAAGTGGATAAAGTAATCAAATGAATATAGTCAACGAAAAATATATATTTAATAAAATCGAAATGATTACATGGAATTGTTTACGCTTGAACATACGTTACCTACAACTAAGATTTATCGCAAGGGGGCAAACAGGATTAAACTGACTGACTCACTGACTAACTGCTTTCAACGTAGAACTGCTTTGCACAAATGTGCACCAGTTCGAGTTGCCATACTCCCTCCATTTACCACACAAAGCAAGAGAACAGAGTAAAGAGAGATTCAAAAGAGAGAGAGAGATAATAAACAGAAATATGAAGAGAAAAGAATAGTAATAAAGAAGAACAATATAACTTTATTGGGTATCATAAATCACAAAGAGTGAATGCATCTTCGGTAGCCCCTGAGAACGATGAGTTTGAGCCATATCATCGATTGCCTGCAGCCTCATCAGCCCCAACGGGTTAATCGCCGAAGAAATCTCAGCACGGATACAGAAAGCTAGTTTCGCATATGCCAGTTTACGCCATCTCTGGCGTGGACGTGATATCCGGCTGTAGATCAAAGGGCGTGTGTACTGCTCAGAAGATATTTCCGTCCTCCTTTATGGCTGTGAAGCCTAGCAATTGAGAGTATAGGACATGAAAAGGCTGACTGTCTTTGATCATAGGTGCCTGCGTTCTGTCTCCCGTGTGGAATGGTATAATAGGGGGAGCATTATTGAGGTTAGGCGTCGAGTGCTAGGTAAAGAGGGGAAATCAACCGACGAGACTGTGAAGCTACATCACCTGAGATGGTTACGAAATGTGTTACGAATGCATGCCTAGCCACCGCCTTCTTCGATGGGTAATGTTAGCTGATGCAGGGTTAGGTTGGAAAAGAGCCAATGGTGGTCAGTCAATGAGATCCAGAACAGTTATTTTAAGCCACGTAGGAAGGTGTAGATTTCCTAATTGGTTGGGGTTCGCGGGAAATTAAACACCCATGGCTGGAGACAGTGGCTCAAACTCATGGTTCTCAATGGTGCAGATACATTCACTCCTTTTGACTTATAATACCCAATAAAACTACATGGTTCTTCGATATTACTATTCTTTTTGACTCATGTCTCTGCTTACTGGCACTACTTTGCATTTCTTTTTACTTTCTTCTCTGACTCTGTGTGCTGAGTGAAGTGTGGCGACTCGAACTGCCGCACGCCGGTGCAAAGTTCAATGTTGAAACCGGGCAGACAGATAGCCTGCAGCCTTTATTGGTTTTTACCATCCCGCGAAACCCAATCAGTCAGATAGTCTCCCTACGTTGCTGGCTGGCTGGCTCAAACTTACTGTTGTGGATTTCATTGACTGATGAAGTTATGTTTTGGTTTGATCACTATGTGCTATCTCTTTTCCAACCTGATCCATCCTATGTCAGCTAACATTGCCCGTTGAGGCATGTGCAACACATGTCCTAACCATCTCAATCGACGTAGCTTCACGACCTCATCGATTGATTTCCCCTCCTTACCTAGCACTCGACTGAAGCCTAACCTAGATATTGCTCACCTTATTATACCACTTAACACGGGAAATAGAAGTCAGACACCTATGATCAAAGACACCTAGCCAGACTTTTCATGTCTTTCCGTTTCAATGACCATGTCTCACTCACAGCCATAAAGGAGGACAGAGCCAATTGTTGAGCACTTTCATCAAGCATTACATAAACTCCTTAATGAAACGTCATTATCCTTCGGTTTAAAATCAAACTAGCCAAAATAATTAATTCCAACAAAATTTATAAGACTTCTGCATAATGGGCTTTACTCAGCATAAAAATTAAAGCTAGAAATTTCTGCAAAACGCTCTTCAATGAATACGTTATCAATGTACAAAGTACAACGTTAATATGGACTTTTGACCTGATATTCTTAGAACTTTGTTCCCATATTTGTGTGTCAATAAATGGTCGATATTTTTTTAATGAACTTTGTAACTATGCAATATTTCTCATGCAAACCAAATCTACCAAAAATTTGCTAAAGTAACACTTTGAAAAAAGGAATGTTAAATGCTAACTCTCATAGCAAATGGAATTCAGTAATCCTGTAGTAATCTTTTACCAATTGATTACTTGATTGCCTTCAGTTGCATCAACTTGCTTAATCTATGACAAGGAGTTTGTTTCATACAATAATGTGCATGCTGATTCCCTTTATTGAGTAGGAATTCCTCTGTTGATATAATTAGACATTGATTAAAGTTTGTGAATTTTCTGCCATTTTCAAGATTCAGTTTATAGGTACTTGACTTATGTCAATTTTGATCACGGAATAATGTCAATCAGAGAATCATTGAAAATCCAACTACGGAGTACTGGACAGCTGTTTCGACCAAGTTTAGGAGTCATCCGCAGTACCCACCTGCCAGGGGTTCGAACCCAGGACCTCCAGGTTACAAGTCAAGCTCGTAGACCAGTCAGCCAGTACTCCCTGGTTTTTAATAGTTCTCTAATTGATATCAATTAGTGGTAAAACTTCAAACAAGTAGAATTCTCACTAATTCTTGAAAATTGATCTGATGCTCACTAGTGACTGTCTACAACACAGAGTTGACTGGAGTTCTAGTGAGAAGTCATGACCAGTGGGTTTCATCACCAGGTCGGGAGTGAGGACAAATACTCACCGATGACACTCGTTTGTGGTAGTGTTAAAATCAGGAATTGATAGAAGTCAGAATTCATGAGGTATTGAATCGGGTCCCAGTGGATGAATGGTCTAGCAGCTTTCCTACCAACCCGTAGGTTGTGGCTTAAAACCCGTTGGTGGATACTGCTGATAAGCCCCAGGCTAGGATGGAACAGTTACCCACCACTCCCTGGTTTCCAATGGTATTTTGTCATTGGACCAAAATAATCAGTTTCCGTAGACATGTGAGCACTCTTTGACGATACCTTTAAACTTCACTTGATTTTATTTGCTAGCGAGTGACTAACATTAAAATACATGACACGGATGTACCAACATCCCAGTGCTACTGTATTTAAGGGGAATGAAACCCTTAACCCACTGTTTCATACTCTAGAGAGTTATCTAGTACGGCTGTTGAACTACAAGAGACACTTCCCTTACACACCAGGTGGATTTTGCTTCTAGCCAACAAACTTAAGCATTCATTTTCTGATTGCCCTACATCATCAGTATTGGCTTACTAACAAATAAATGACCAATGGATGATAAGCTAGTGATTGATCTACGTTTCTGAATTAATTTCTCAATACAGTCACATTATTAAGTAACATGATATTGCTATACACTGTGACTGAGTATTAAATGAAAGAAGTCAGTTATCGATAAGCCTTGAACTTCAATCATGAGGATTTCAATACTTTAAGAGTAGGATCATTCATGTATGCTCAACCTGCACATCGTCCCCGTAATTTCAAAATATGAGTTTCTATAGGATAACCGATGCATCCATCGTATTGATTAGTTGTGGCCTGTACAAAACTCTCGATCAAAACAGCTTCATGTCAATTAACTACATCAGTTGTTGGATGGTTACCAACAAGGAATAATTATGAAAAATGAAATACAATCACGAGTCTACCTTATCTACAGCATGCTAATTATGACTAACAGAACAAATCAAAGTGGAAATTTGCACAAAAGTGTATCCATTTTCAAGTATCGGTCTTGTTTGATTAGTTGAAGGATTTCATCATGAACTGATATCAGTTAGTAAACCATTGAAAAACCACCACGGAGTACTGGACAGCTATTCCATTCTAGTTTGGGACTCTTCATCAGTAGGCACTCATCGCCAGGTTTCGAACCCACGACCTTCTGGTTACAAGGCGAACGAGTTCGTAGACCATTGAGCCACTGGGACCCGATCCAATGGTCAGCGCATGAATTCTAATTTCTGTCAATTCATGACATAGCCCGATCACTTCATAATGTCCCCTTCGATGATGAGTTACTGCCTAACCTTCAACCTGCTGCACCCTACTGGTCACGGCTTCCCACTAGAACCCTAGGTCACTGTCTGGATAGGGCAAGTCACTAGTGAGTATCAGGTCAATTTTTAAGTATTGGTTTTGTAGGGATTTTGTTTGATTGGTTGTAGGATTTCATCATGAGCTCGCCTTGGAACCAGAAGGCCGTGGGTCCGAACCGTAGCGGTGGGTGTGTACTTATAATGAGTCCCAATCTAGGACGAAACATCTGTCCAGTAATCTCAGCCGGTCTTCCAATGGTTGTCTAAATGATGTCAGCTCATGACGAAATTCTCCAGCCAATCAAAAGTATATCAGTTGGAATTGTTACAGTACAGTAAAGTGAACAAATAGGAGAAACGGGAAGTTATGAAACTGTATAGAAGGGGAAGAGGTATGGAAGACAGAATAATTAAATAAAGATTAATAAACATTCTCAGATGACAAGTAGGAAACACATATACAACAGTGTGAACAATTCTGCATCAAATCAATAAACAAACTTCAATAAAACTTATTCTTAACATCAGGAAGACCAAAATGAATTTTTGAGCAAGCCAATCCTAATGAGGCTGATGCGACCCAGTAAAACAACTGAAATGACACCCTAAAGACAGTTCATTCGCTATCCCTAAAATAGCAGTCAGTGCAGACCATTGATGCAGCAGCAGCATATTACAATTTAACGGAAGCGATTTTCACACTACCAAGTATACCCGGATTTTTAATCAAGGTGTTCGTTCGGAAGACTGTATTTATTTCAGAATCTTTACTTATAAAAGGAAAATATCAACTGTGTGTACCCTAAACTGACGATACTTCTCCATGGTAGAGAATAAATACTTACGATATTCTACGTCGATCAGATTCCCATACACGAGTAGAACAATAATAGCATCGAATGAAACCCATAACAATTAGCAGCTCTGATGAACACTACTGGTTGTCATCAACTCACGTGGCACCGCTTCATAGCGTCTTAAATGATAGTATTATTATTTAAACGCAGAAAAAACTTGGTACAATATGGCAACAAGAAAGATGCGCCTCACAATAATAATAAAACAACATAGATTAAAAGTTAAAAAAAACATAAGTAGGGAACGGGTAAAGAACTTCATCTGGAAGGAAAACAGTCATGTTTAACAAGTTCAAACAGTATTCGTTAACTATCATCAGGAAGGGAAGAAAGAAGAAAATTGCAACACGTTCGCCATTGATTACGATTCTTGGCCATATCCGATAACGTTTCGAGCCATCGATTTGAGCTATCTCGCGGACCCCAACGAGGGAGTCGTGACACACCAACCGATGCTAATCTAGCACAAAAATCCTTCACCCCACGACGCCACGTCATGGATTCACCACCCCTCCGCCTTTTCCATCCCGTCCCAGGGATAGCGAACAGAGACCTGTACAGAAGCCTCTCGGATGACATTCGCAGCGCATGTCTAAGCCACCAGAGCTGGTGTTTCCAGATGACGACACTCAATGAATGGTGATCTCCACTGTGTTCAAACACACGCCGCCGAACCTCAGAATTACTCACGCGATGATGCCATCGAACGCAAGAAATCCTGCGGAGACAGCAATGATCGAACACGCAGAGTCACCGCACATCCTCAGCTCGGAGAGGCCAGGTTTCACAGGCGTAGAGCAAGACAACCCGCACCGAAGCATTGTATACCCGACCTTTGACAGCCAGGGTAACGTCACGACGGCGCAAGAGGTGGCTCAGGTTGATGTATGCCATCCTAGCCTTCATTATACAGTTGGAAATCTCATCCGTCACCCCTCCACCAGCACTCACACAACTACCCAGATACACAAACTTATCAACAACTTCAAGCGGTTCACCTGCAAGAGTGAGTGCAGGTACAGGCTCCTGCCAGTCTAGTAACAGTACTTTGCACTTAGACGATGCAAAGCACATACCATGCTTACAGACACTGACACTGGTAGTATTCATTCAAATAAAATGCCTGGATTAACATATTAAGATTCTTAGTGCTGCTTTTATAATTAAACAACACTACAACAAATTCACGTCAGGTTGTTGTATTTTCGTCGCTAAATATCCGCTTGAATACCGGGAAAATAACACTAAATCTTCCAAAGCTTCCTAGATTTCGACGACGATATTCGAATGTATGTTCTCAGGAAAGCGAGAGACAGTTACAAAGACAATTAAACGGTGACACGAAAACTAATTGTGTAGTCACTATCTAACCTAAGTAATAGTTGGAATCTGTGAAAAGAGTCTGTCTTACGAACAGTCATTACTTCAAATATGTCAACTCAAGTTGGTGAACGGTTAGCCATCGCAAATTCCATGTTAGCCGTTGGTAAGTACATAACTGTTTTACAACCTGTCAGCGAATAAATCATTAGCACATATATAAATCATCATGAACAAAGAACGAACAATTTCGGAAGATTATAGAAGCTCGTTTTATTCCATGGATTCTCTTCAACTGTGCATACATCCTAAACACTATCGAATTGTAAGTTAAAGAAAATTTCTGAACATACCTCCCCTCACAGTGACGTCGAGCAGTTACAGATAGAAAGTATAAGCAACATAATTCCAAAAAAAATGGTGTAAATAGACAAAACACTTAGTGTTGAAAGACTAGCTGTTAACAGTATAATTAGACAAACAGTGCAAAGCATATACATTTCGATAGGAAACATGGATTGACTAAAAACAAAATGCAAGATCGAGCAACAGAGTGAATTTATAAATATTATGATGAAAATTCATATGAACTGTGATCAAGATTTGATCGAATAGTTCAAAAATAATTGGACGCCGAGTGAGAAGTAGACGTTTGTAAAAAATCTTATTTGTAAAATCTCAGCGAAATTGAAATGAGTAATTCCAACGTTTCCTATGTTCGACAAACTGATCCGAACTTCTTAAGGGAAATTAATCGAAATTAAAATAACAGAGGTTTATATATATAAAACGAAGGCCACCTCTTGTTTTTTAAAAACTTTGTGCAATCATATGTGGCCAAGAATCTGATTAACAGACGCAAACGTCTAGTTACTGAGGAGGAAGACAACAGCGGCGGAGAACTAAAATTCATTCACTACACTCTTGTATCAAATAGTTGTCCCAAAGACTTCATAAAAAGATGTGAAGATAAGGATGAATCGGAATTTGTTGCAATGAATTGGGTTAGCACAATGGTGATTCCTTACTGCAAAGAAACATCGGATGAGAAAAAGCGAATCATTAACAATCACGACATAAGAGTGTATTTTCGTGCAACTAACACCTCACGCTCATCAGTGGTGAAGGTTATAGATAAAATAGAAGAAAACCAACAAGAATTGTGTGTACGAAAGATCAATTGTAGGCATTGTGACACCGTATATGTAGGAGAAGCTTCCAGACAGGTAAATGTAAGAGTGACGGAGGAAAAAGATATTTAGAGGCGGTTTCAAAGACCTCTGCAGACTTGAAGAAACTAGAAAACAGATCGGGGATTGCACTGCACTAGACAGAAACGGGAATAAGGTTCGTACAGAAAAAGACTGACTGCATAAGCCCTACATACATGGGTGAATCCCAAAAGTTTGAACAAACGTGAAGGTGTGATTTTAGCTGATGCATAGCAAGTCTTGATTAATAAATAAAAATGGATATGTCTCACTAATAAATAATACTTGGTCCAAATTCCCGATTGTCTATATCTTTTTATGGAGAGGCTAACAAATGCTTTACAATTATTCAATCATGAACACACATACACACACAATTGTATACCGCAAATACATCTATATTTTTCATATTCAGTTATTTACAACCATGAACTTTAGTCGGATGTGATCACTAAAGTTCTGATGAAAAAGTACACGCTGTAAGTCTGAGGTCAAATTTTAATCACAGTTCATGCAATTTTGTTGATTATATTTTGATGCTTTTGTTTTATGATTCACGTGATTGGACAAAGTTTTTAAAAACAAGAGATGTCCTTTGTTTTTTATAAAAACCTCTGTTATTTTAGAATTTAACTGGTGAATGGTGACTAGCAGTGGAATCCAGGATGCGCATTTCGTCCCATTTGGGACTAGTAATCTGGATGTACCTGCGTCCCCCAGTGAGTTCCCACCGGAGCTCGAACCCAGTACCCATAGTTTCAAACGCCAAAGCCTTATCCACTAGACCACTTGTTATTTTAATTCCGATTAATTACCCTGAAGAAGTTCGGGTCAATTTGCCGAATGAAACGTTGGAATTCCTCATTTCAATTTCGTTGAGATTTTACAAATATAATTTTCAAGTATTGGTTTTGTAGGGATTTTGTTTGATTGGCTACAGGATTTCATCATGAGCTGACATCAATTAGAGAACCACTGGAAAACCTGGGAGTACTGGACAGCTGTTTCGTCCTAGTTTGGGACCTTGTAACCAGAAGGTCCTGGGTTCGAATCCCGGTGGTGCGCACTGATGAAGAGTTCCAAATTATGACGAAACAGCTGTCCAGTACTCCCAGGTTTTCCAGTGGTTCTCTTACTGATGTCAGCTCATGATGAAACCCTCTACGCAATCAAATATCATTTTGACAAATGTCTACTTCCCACTCGGCGTCCAATTATTTTAGAACTATTCGATCAAATCTTGATCACAGTTCATATGAACCTCCATCATAATATTTAGAAATTCACTCTGTTGTTCGATCTTGTAGTTTGTTTTTACTCAATCCCTATTTCCAATCGAAATCTAAACCCTCTCCCCTGTTTGTCTAATTGTACTGTTAACAGTTAGTCTTTCAACACTCAGTGATTTGTCTATTTACATTATTTTTGGGGAATTATGTTGCTTATACTTTCTATCTGTAACTACTCGACGTCATTGTGAGGGGAGGTATGTTCAGAAATTTCTTCAACTTACAATTCGATAGTGTTTAGGATGTATGCACAGTTGAAGAGAATCCACGGAATAAAACGAGCTTGTGTTATCCTGCAAAAATGTTCAATTTTTTTCCATATTCGAACTAATGAAGGGAACTCGTTGTATAAAATATAAATTATTCATTCTAAAACACTTTCATAATATCCTAATTTCCCTTCGTTCAGGAAAACTCAATCCTACAGTCTTGAATTTATAAAAATGTAGAACATTATTTTTCAGTGAAATGCAGCGAAAATTAATTTTAGAAAGCGATAACAATTCAGGATTTCATCATCAACTGAGTCTTCACTGAAGAGTCCTAAACTAAGACGAAATCGCTCACCAGTAATCCCTACAGGTTTTTCAAGGGTTTTCTAACCAATGTCAGTTGATGATAAAATCCTGGAACCAATCAAATCCCTGCAAACCAACACGTGAATAAGAATTCAATTAACTTCAGTAAAATAAACCAATAAGAACGAAACAGTGCGTCGGTGGCACAGTGGTAGAATACTCTCCAACCACGCCTCATGTGGTCCGGGGTTCAATCCCCGGTCGACGCACTCCTTTACCTCGCTAAGCCAGTAATAAGACTACTAAAGAGGGGAGGTTGGGCATGAGTCTAGCAACCCAATCCTGTAAAAATAAACACCACTGCTACAGAAACTTCAAGCCGCTAGCTTGAAGCCCTATGTTAAACTGGGAACGTAAAGGAATAAAAAAAAAAGGAATAAGACTTACCTGATGAATCATATTATTGGGTAAATCTTGATCTAAATTCGATAAACTATTCGGATCTTGACTTAAACCATGATATTGACCACGAAGTCGATCACCTGCAGCTAATCGACGAAAACGTGTTAAATCGACAACATACAGAGCTGAAATATGATATGGTCGACCAGCTAAATGATTAGCCCAATAACCTTGTTTCCAAAATCGAAAACCATCCATTTCTTTACGTGAATCACAGAATGGTGTATAACCGTATGGTGCACCGCCTAAATCAAGATCAGCTAATTCTTTTAAATCTGCTCGAACGATCTATATAGAGCAAAAAAGAGGGAAAAGAAGAAAATGATTCATAACATCGACTAAAACAAAACTCATATGTCTATCCATAAAACACAAAACATAGTAGATGGAATTTATAGTTTCCACGTAATATGTCATAGGCATTATTATTATTGTTTCCTTTAGTTCCTAGAGGAACATAGGGCTTCAGCCGCACCTCTTTATTACGTTCCATTCTCTGCCAACCTTTTCATCTGGCTCCACGTCTGCCTATATGGTTTCATCTCCTCTTCACATGACCTCCTCCGTGTCACGCTCGCAATGATGACCAACTCGCCACTTCCCGTTCGGGTTCCATTCGACGGTCTGTCTTGTGATGTCACTTGATGGTTTTCTCAGAGTATGACCAATCCACCTCCATTTCTTCCTACATATTTGTTACACAATTGGTTCCTGGTGGATTGGTTAGCTCCCAGAGATCCCTGTTGCTGATCTTTCCTGGCCATCTGATATTGAGTAGTAGTGAGTCTGTAGTTTGTTCGTTATAGGCATTAGCTTGTATAAATGAAATGGTAACACATGCGCCTAATCAAGTAACGACTTAACATATATTATTTTATTATTAATATTACTATTCCCATGTATCCGTGTTGGTGAACACTGAGTGAGCAATATATGGTTTGTTCATTCGAACTGATCTCCATTTGGAGGGAGACAACAATGGCAGTCATTGCTTAATCGTACACTGGTTGGCAGAACATGGAAGAAAAAGGATCGGATGCATTCTTGTAATTTATGTTGACATTTATTCATAGACTCTGTGCTTTGCAACCTTGTTGTTCTAGCCCATCATCGATGAAGAAACAAACAATCCTGGTATCCTCCAGTCAGTTAACGCACATAATATTCTGAGGTGATGATTAGTCATCTGGAATCACAGTTGGGTTCGGGATCTTCTTCAATCTGGACATATGATACCATGTGTTTCGAGTGCGACACAGAGTTTTAACAGCACATCTCCATGTAATCCTGTTCCCTGCAGTCAATTCCAACTGGCCCGACGATGGACCATACGCCCCCCATCGACGGATCTCCTCCATTTCACCCTCAGAATCCCATTTGGGTTCCACTCTAGTGCCTGAAGCGTAATGTCACTTAATCAGCTCTTCAGTGTGTGTCTGGTTCAGCTCCAATGTTTCCTGCATATTTATTAGGCAATAGGTTTTTGGTTGGTTTGCTGCTTGACAGAGTTCCTAATTGCTTATTCTTTCTAACACGCCCTCTGATCTCCAGTAAGGAACACCTACAACAGCCAATTAGAAATGCTTCTAGTGAGCGTATGACAGGTCTCTGAACCATACACACGTACTGATTTGACATTAGTGTTCAGGATCCACATCTTCTTTATGCTGATTGTAGCAGATTTCCACACTGATTTCAGGGTAGTGAACGGTCTGTCTTGATTTTCCGATCCTGACTGGCTTTAACATCTTCATCCGTACCGTTTGTAGCTGCAACAATGCTGTTTAGGTAAGTGAGACAATAAGTGACTCCTCTTCAAATTTCTCCCGTTAGTATTGATTGGTGCATGTTGATTTAACATACACAGATGAGGATATGTGAAGGATGAAATGAAACCACTAAGAAATTGTGCTTAAACATTTTACATTCAAGCTTCAACTATATTAATAGTGAACATTACAAAGATATATATATCTTATGGATTTGAAAAAAGCTTTTGGATGCGATGAAACAATGTTAGATGATGCTAATTAACACCTAGAGACAAGCTTTTATTCATTTTCACAGGCAGTTAACAGATTACAAAATAGTTTAACCAAGTTGTACACTTGTAGGCGCATAGCATTAGATAATTGCAACTTTCCTTCCCTTTGGAGTGAATCTTGCTGTCATTATTCTGTATAACAGCTATGGCTGTTGTTAGTAACATTATGATTGCCCCTCACTGCCTCATTGTGCTCGTGCTTTTCTTCTGGGTAGGTGACCGGAGTAAATTATTAACTCTCTAGTTAACAACGTGGATAGTCCACATCCATTCCACCTACTCTCACAGATTTCTAGCACTTATGTGCCGTATCTTCTCATTATTTTGTAAGCCAAGACAGCCTTCCCAGTCTCGTACATAATACAAGCATTCCAGATGCCAATATTTATATTTTCCTTCATCGAAAGAAGACTTATCGCCCGACTAGCTTCCAGAGGGCTTTCAATAGCCTGTACCATTTCGTCTCTCCGATTCTAGCGAAGAATAAGTTGGTTTTCCTAAATTTCCCTTGTACTTTGAAGTTTCTGTAGCGACTGGATTGACTTTTTGGGGTTAGATGGCTGACCCCACGTCAAACCCTCCCACTTTTCCCGGACTTAGGATCGGCTAGAAAACTAGCGAACTAGCAAAACTATTAGGCGTGATCGGATGATATCGCACGCCAGATCATCACTCGAGTGGAAACCAAGTGGGGAACGATGAGTTCCGCATCATTTTGAGGGTAACATGGAGGAGATCGTGTACGGAGATGAAGGCATATGTGAAACAGTGGAGCCAGATGAAGAGGACTGCAAAGAACGGAACAAAATGCAGATGTGCTGTTGATCTTCTATATTCCACTAGGAACCCGACAGAATAATAAGTTGTACATTCATTATCTAGGGGGGATTAGCTCACCAAGACATTTACTAAAAATTGATACACTGTTTACATCACCAAGACGTATATATATATATATATATATATATATATATATATGAATTCATTCTTCATTAGAAAACAAACCGTCATTTTAGAAAAGTAGTAAATAAATGTAATTACTATTATTTATTATTGTCTCCTTTAGTTCCTAGAGGAACACAGGGCTTCAGTCACACCTATACACCTATCCAACGTTTTCATCACCTGGCTCCACGTCTGTCCATATGCTTTCATCTCCTCTTTGCACGACCTCCTCCACTCCATGTCACCTTCACACTGACGACCAACTAACTCACCGCTTCCCATTCGGGTCCCACTCGAGAGAAAGCCTGGCGTGTGATGTCACTTGATAGTTTCCTCAGAGTAATAACATCTGCGCTTTTTAATTCAGTTTTGATTTTCCTATTGATTGATTAGACCGAAATGTCCAGCAACTACTGACATATCCGCTCCTAGTACAGATGTTTCAACGATGTCCGAGGATTAATTGGATGGTGATTAGCGGCGGTATCCACAGAGGCCGAATATTTCGGTCTAATCCATCAGCTGGATAATCGAAATTGAATTTTTTGTCAAACAAATAATAACTGATGCCTGTTGTACAATAGGTGGCTTTAATGGCTCAAATATTCTAGTAAATAACGCTTCGGCAATGTCTGAAAGCATGGGGTTAGTGGGCTCGTGCCTCAGTAAGTACACTGGGATGACCAGTTCAAAATAGCATGAGATGCACATTCTGCATCCCACTGCAAATCACCATACGCTAAATTGTAACATCCCTCTTAACATTCTAATACAGTAAAAGAAAGTAAATTGCATTCATCATTTTCATTATAAACAGTGTGTGTGTGTGAGGGGATGGAAGAAATTCAACCTACCTGATCAGCATCTACAAATATAATTTTCGTCACATTCAAGGGGAATAAAACATCTAAGAATAATATTTTATAACCCCAGATAATACGTTGTTTCTCTGTTTGAGCGTGTAACCAACGTGGCCACTTGTACTGAACAAATTCATATTCAAAACCATATTCAGCTGCCATATATGGTATAAAATCTTTAAATGTTGGTGACAGGTAATTTTTTAAAAACCAAAATTTCACCGGTGAATTTGTATGCCGGATAACAGTTAACATCATAATTCTGAAGAGTGGAGAATAAAAAAAACAAAAAATACAATAAGGATAAGACTACAGTTTAATGTGAAGGTGAAATCTTCTAATGATTAAATGTTTGATGAAGATTAGTCACAAAAGACGAATGTATGATTATTTAAATAAAATAGTGTGATGTGTCTAGTCCTCTGTTTTATGCAGACTGAATTCTATCAGTCAGCTTTGCAATGTGGCTACCATTCCAAGTATCTCGCCATCAGGGTGGTTAGAGGTAATCGACAGGAAGCCCAGCCTTGGACCTAGGTTTCATGCTAGTTGGCACTCCCAGTTAGCAAGGCGTATCTGCAACCACACCGAAGGAACAATTCATGTCCCTTCTGAGGCTTGAACCCGCGTCGCCTAGTGAGTACTGCAGTCACAGACGTTAAAATAGTGAAATTAAAACAATAGAGTCAACAGGCAGATCGACAAATACCTCTTGCACAAAATTCACGTACTAACTATCGAATCAGCACATGACTGACTGACTCACTCACTGACTAGTTTCAACATAAAACCTCGCAAAGAAGTGCATCAGTTCTCGTTGCCACACTTCACGGACCACATAAAGGAAGACAAAAGAGAGAAAAAAAAGAGAGATTCAAAAGAACGATAATAAGGAGAAATGTGAAGGAAAAAGAATAGTAGCGTGGGAAAACAACAGAGTTTCAATGGATACGGCAGATCACAAAGAGCGAATACATCTAGTCACCACTGAGAACGATTTAGAGTCATTTCAAAAATTATCTCCAGGCATTGGTTCTTAGAATCCCGAGGACCCTATCCAGGTAGCCTGGGCGATAGCTAGGCATAATTTACACATCTATTAGACATCGCCTCAATCGATGTAGCTGCACAATCTTATCTATTGATTTGCCCTCCTTAACTAACACTAAATACCTAACCTCGATCCTACTCACCTTGTTATACTCCCTAACATGAGTGACAGAACGGAGACATCTATGATCAAAGACAGCTGGCTTTTACATATCTTCCACTTTCAATGGACATGTCTCACAGCTATAGAGGAAGACGGAGGGTCTTTTGATCGATATCCGAATATCACGTCTACGCCAAAGATGACGTAAGTTGGGGAATGCCACACGAGGTTTCCGTGTGTGTGATGAAATTTCCTCAACAATCATTCCATTTGGGTTGATGCAACTTCTCAAATACGTGAATTGGTGAACACGCACTACTAATTTATCAGCACATGGAAAAGAATGACAAAAAAGTAGAATAATACCAGGAAACATAAAATCTAATATAAGGATGAAAAGAAATAAATGAAGAAAAATAAGATTAGTTTCATTCAAATCAAGGCAGAAAACATTTCTTGGTGAAGCCAAACCGTTCTGATCGCGTTGCAGCACACCTTTATGTACGTACTCCTCCTAATTTTCAAGAGAATGAAAACCTGTTCCAATACAAGGCTTTCCATCCATATAGTCAAATTTTCCAAAAACTAGTTGTCTTTTATTTAATTGAACTTTAGATTTTCCTGTCGATTGATTGGACCGAAGTACTCGGTCTCAGGTTGACATGTCGGCTTTTCGTGCAGATGCTTCGACGATGTCTGGGCGCGTTATTAGAATCTAATTGGTAGATGATAACTAGCAGCGGGACCCGTCATCTGGATGTACCTACCTCGGTGGGAACATCATCACTCACTGGGGAATGCAGGTACATCCAGATGACGAGTCCCAAATAGGACGAAATGTGCATCCTGAATTCCACTGCTAGTCTTCATCCACCAATTAGATTCTAGTTCTCTTCTAGTTTGTACAGGACCCAATGTGACGTAACTGGTAATCATAAACATCTGCAGTTAGAAATATAGTCTGAACACCACTTATACAATAAAACTAACTTAAACATACAAACGCATGGATACAACTATGCTTAAAATCAATCAAATCGCTGCAAACCAACAGACTGACTGCAGGATGAAGCTGCTTGAAGTTTTAGTGAGAAGTCATGACTAGTGTGGTCCACCAAGCTGGATGTAAGAAAAAATACTCACCGATAACATCAGCTAGTGGTCTCACTACACATCGACAACTGACAGAAGTTAGAATTGATGCGCAATTGGATTCTGTCTGTTCCAGTAACTGAAATGTCAACGAGTTAGCCTTGTAACTTTGAACGTCTTCGGTTCGACCGCTAGTAGGGTTATGAAGAGTCTCGGACAAAGACGAAAGAGATGTCCAGTACGCCCTGGCTTTCAATGGTTCTCTAAATGAAGTCATTTCGTGACCACTTTTGAAATCAATCAAACGCCTGAAAACACTTAAAATCTACTCGTCACAAACTAATATATAATCCCAGCATACCTGCTGCTGCTGCTGCTGGATTCAACATAGAACTTGGCACCGAAGTGCAGCAGTTCGAGTTCAAGGATCAAGACTTCAAGGATCTAACTAGATGAATTGTAGTACACCTAACCGTTGGAACACACAATTCATCAATCAAGCATAGATGTATATCTGGTTTCTCTAAAAGATCGACTATCTGAAGGTAGACCGTTATGTGAATCCCAATAAACTACTACTTACATGATTTCACCAATAGTTGACATCAGTCAGAAAACCATTAGAAAACCAGATGGGAGTACTGAATAGTTGCCTCGTCAGCCTAGTTTCGGACTCCCCAGCAGTACGCACCACCACCAGGGTTCGAACCCAGGACCTCCTGATCACAAGACAAGCTCGTAGACCATCAACCCACTGGGACCGGTTCCATTGGCCAGCCCATGAATTTCAACTTCAGCCAATTCCCGACATAGCACGACCACTAGCCGATGTCATCGATGAAGAGTACTTGTTTTCACACCCCCGACCAGCTGTACCCCACTGGTCACAACTTCCTACTAGAACCTTCTACCTGAATAGGACCAGTCGCTAGTGAGCATCAGATCGATATTCATTCAAGCGTTGGTTTACAGGGATTTGATTGGTTACAGGATTTCAACATGAGACATCGAAGCGGGTCCCAGTGACCTTATGGTCTACGAGCTCACCTTGTAACCGGAAGTTCCAGGGTGCGAACCCCAGTGGATGCGTACTAGTTAAGAGTTCCAAACTGGGGTGGAACAGCTCATGATGAAATTCTGTAACCAATCAAATTACCACAAACCGATACTTAAAAACTAACTGTCTAACTTCTTAAAACAGTGGTTAAGACTCTCGTCGACCATGCACATGGTCCGGGGTTCGATCCCGGCCAACGCACACCTGATATCAATGGTAGGCCTGCTAAATTTGGGCTACCAATATCACATGCTGAAAATTCCATATTTGTACTAAAAATACAGTGCGGAATCAAGCTATAATCAAAAAATAATTAGTATAACATACCTTAACAGTCTTTCATATAAATGACCAGAAGCAACAGAGAAAATATTGATTGTTTCCTGATTTGATGTACATTTACGCCATGGTAAATGTGACTGAAGGGATAGTTTTAAACTACAAAAGAAAAGAAAAAACACGAAAGATTTTGGAAAAGAACAACAACAAAAACAAAAATAATAATAAATCAATTTACCAAAAACAGATTAGCATAAACTGTTGCATTTTTTCTCAGTTTTATATACGCCCATTTACACACTATTCGCAAATAGAAAGTGAAAACCAAAGTTAAACATCGGAAACAATCATCAATGTAAATTGTATTAATAAACAAAAGTAGATCTCATAAAGTAGTATACAATCCATGCGGCAAAATTATAATGAGAAATGTCATCTGCGGTAACTAACCAGTCAGCAAGGCGTATCTGCAATCTTGAAGGAACTCATATCTCTTCTGAGATTGGAACCGGTGTCACCCGGTGTACTGTAGTCAGAGACGTTAACACTGAGCTATTCGGGCTTGCAATTCGCCTCTTTGATTGAACACTCACAGGTGAATGTACCGTGATGGCGAGCCACCTAACATGCATGGTGGCCCCATTGCAAACTTGACTGACCGAATTCGGTCTGCACCAAACAACGACTAGACGCATTGCACTAGTTAGTATCCAATAAAGTCCAATAGGAGATCATTCGGGAGCCCGAATAGCTCAGTGGTAACGTCTCTGACTACAGCAAACTGGGTGACAAGGGTTCGAATCTCAGGAGCGATCATAGTTCCTCCAAGATTGCCATCAAGCACAAAACCTAGCTCAGGAAGGGCTACCGACCGACTGCCTCCAATAGCCTGTACAATTAGTGTGTTCCTGCATAGACAGGAAATATATTATTATAGTTTGAGCAAGAAAGCGTAGTCATAAGGAATTCATAGTTATTTGAGGCACTACAATGATCACAATATCTTTATACAAAACACTAAGAGCAATTTTTCTTTCACAAATAGCTGGTGACATCTAGATGTAATTGGTCGTTTACGCGGTTGTGTCGTCACCATCCAAACGAGTGTATACTGAACATTTATCTTGATGAAGTGAAGTTTTAAAACCAAAAGCTTCACCGGTTGATGATATTGTAAACGGAAAGAGGAATAAAAGACCTGAGAGCATACGATCAACTTGGATACTGTTTCCTTTACTACCAATCTAGCTCGAATAAATATTTCACCCTTCGAGGGGTGAAATGTCAAATCACAATAATATTTGATCTCCTTGATACCATAAACGGTAATCAAGAAAGTAAGCATATTTACATAAAACTATACACTACTACTGATTAGTTGAAATAAGTAGTTGTACACCACTAACATCAACTAGGAATACTTGCTGGCCAGCCAGATCTTTCGTTTGAGGACAAGCTCATCAGCGGTGATTTGAACTGATTCGGTTATCTGAACTGAGTCAAACCGGCTACACCGATGATGAGTTCGGCCCGAAACGGCAGTCCAGTGTTTGGATCACCTCAATCTGATTGGCCAGTACGCACTACTGATTGATATGAGTAGTATACAACTACTTATCTCAAACAATAAGTAGTTTATAGTTTAATGATTCAGTATTTAATAGGTGTTTTGAAGTATAGCACAAATATTGTGTGTGTGTGTGTGTACCAAATAGACTGGAGATAAGTCACAGATAGCTATAACAACACGGAGTGAAGGATCAAGAAAGTGGAATCAAGAGTAACATAGATACTGTTTCATTTGCTTTCTTAAAAAGTGCCTTCTAGTAATCACACTACTGACAAACACAAGATCAAAAACAAAAAGATTTTTTTGAATTGTTGATGTTGTCAAAAACCTGCATCACCTGAATTCCCAGCAAACGATCCTCGTCTATGTATGTAAAGATAACTACTCAACGATGGCATTGAATAGTGACCATACTACATCTTCACTGAATAGAATTTGGAAAATACAGACTTCTGAACTCCAAGTCAATGGATGAATGTCTAATTTTTGGTCGGAGCCATGGCAGCACAATTTATTAGGAGTTCCATATAAGGAGAGAAACAACTCTTCACAATATACTTTAGTTTTCATTTTATTTTTTCCTCTAATATCATTCTGTGAAATGAACAATGTGAATATTGATGAGATCACAGGTATGCATTCATAAGAGGAGAAACATGAAAATATACTTGTGGTGAGAGCTGTCTGCTAGCCAAAATTGTAGACAACACTTTACGTCAAAATCTACGTCCCGAATTGGGGTCATAAGAAAAAAACAATAACAAAGCTTAACCTTGGAGAACTCACCAACCAATCACAGAAGACTTAGCGTGTGCAAATACGATTCGCAAATATATGGCCTGACTTTCTAAGAAACGCCCACAAAGAGATGATAGAATAACCTTGAGCAAGAAAACAACCAATCAGAAGACACTGCTTCTCTGCTAACAATAACGCTAATAATAATCTACATAAAAATCAATAAATATCTGTTGATTTTCTCAATAAACGATCTGTTGCCTAGCCCTTGGTCTTCCGTCGTTATATACTTACCTAGTTAACCAAGAAGGACAATATTCTTCTGCATAATTTGTCAAAGTAGACCATACTTCAGTGTGTTTATTTAACCAATTCGTAGAACTAGAAGTTGATTCTTCTGTAGTAGTATCATCATCCAGGATACTATCACCAGCATATTCTGGTCGTTTAGACACATAAACTCCGATTATTTTTGAACGGAAATTACTGATCAGTGTAATAATTTCAGTTGAATTTAAAGGCGTATCAGTATGCTCTTGACTGAAGTCAATTTATTTGATGAACAGAAAAAATATCAACAACAGAAAGTTTTGATAAAATTAGCATGTTCATCATACGTATAAACTAGTTACCATAAGATACTTAAAAAATTAATTGTATGAATAAAAAAACAGTGCAAATAGGATACCTTCTCAATGACATTCTAGTCAAAATCATAAGAGTAATTTGAAAGTTCAGCAAAGATAATATCCAAGTATTGGCTTCCAGGGATTTTGATTGATTGGTTCCAGGATTTCACCATGAGCTGAAAGTACTGTTCAGCTAGCCTTTTCATCCTTGTTTGGGACTCTTCAGCAGTACGCACCCACCAACACGGTTCGAACGCAGGACATTGGGGTTACAAGGCGACCTAACTCACAGGCCATTAAGCCACTGGGACCCAATCCAATGGCCAATCCATGAATTTCCAACCTCTACCAATTCACTACATAGCGCGACAACTAGCCAGTGTCTTCGGCGAGTATTTGTCCTCACACCCAACCTGCTGTAACCTACTGGTCATGAAGTCCCACTAGAACCCCAAGTAACTATCCACCTGAACAAGGTCAGTCGCTAGTCAGTATCTCATTGATAGTCATACTGTCTTGGAAAGAACTTTATCGCGACAACAATGACATGCTGAATTACAAATATTCTCAAACTACTTCATAAACTGGAATCGATACACCCGTGCTGTACACACAAGTTCATATCAAAATTTGACAAATCCAGTGTGCTAATCCTGTTTTTCCCTAAGAGAACTCACTTTCAGTATATTCTACACCTAAATTACTAAAAAGAAAGTCATCAGGGAAGTGACACATTGGATAAATTTTGGTGTAGTTCTATTCTCAATAGTTGAGAAGCTTTCATTGCTTTATTAGGTAGGCAACAAATCCTCATCGCATACTTATATTTGAAGTGAGCTTTTAAATTTCTCCATGAGTTTATTAGTCATCTCTCCTGGTAACACACCTTGAACGTGATTGGTTGTTTTTTTCTGTGTCAACCAAAAGACTCAACAACGAAATACAGAAAGATAAAACTAACATCATCTACAAAATGAAATCTAATGACTGAGAAAACCACTACATTGGACAAAGTGGACGCCCGGTTCATCTTCAGTTCGAACCCAGGACCTTCTGGTTACAAGGCGAGCTCGAGAAGTTGAATAAACTGTTCAGAAGATCAAAGATACAGTTAAATAACAAGTACATCCAAATTATTGTAGTCACACCTTTTAGTCATTCTACCAACAATCCACTAATATTAATCCCTAACACGGCAAGGATACTAGTCAGATACTTAACACTTCATTGAACAGGGCAGACTAACAGGGGAACATCTGATGAATCGGTATTATCTTAATTACATCATCATTACTCATTTCCACTATTATCTTACTTCAGTTGGAACTAACTGTCAAGAAAAACATTGATTTGATATAAACAGAGGTATTTCACAAATAATAGCTGTAAATTTTTTTGAAAAACAAAAACATTATTTTTGAAAATTTAGAAAACCTACCCAGATACTTCATAAAGCTTTTGTGATTTTCCTGCTCGAATATTTAAATACCATGCACCTGGGTTGGCTTTAAGTTGGAAGTAACCCTATATGGGCAAAAAAGAAAAGCAAAATTAGTGTAAATGCATACAATGAATGAAATTCGGTGAGAATCTCAACAACAACAGTAACAACAATTAGGACTTTAGATGTCTACCGACTAGAATAAAAATGAGTTTCTTTTTTTCTTTTTTCCTTCACGCTCCCCAGTGGAACATAGGGCTTCAAACTAGTGGCTTGAAGTTTCTGTAGCAGTGTTTGTTTTTACAGGATGGGGTTGCAAGCCTTATGCCCAACCTTTCCTCTTCACCAGCATTATTTCTGGCTTAGCGAGGTACAGGAGTGCGTCGGCCGGGGATCGAACCCTGGACCATGTGCATGGCCGGCGATCGTCCTAACCGCTATGCCTCCGACACACAAAATGAGTTACAGCGTACAGTAAATGCCTTGTTAAATGAACGAAATTGCATCCAGGTACTGCATTTCATATCATTTAAGATATTCGACTTGAAACGGTCAAGCGAACATGCGCACAACCATACACACTGTACCTCCACTGGCAACTGCATGTAGTCGTTCAACTATAAACCAAAAATACTGTACAAGTGATAGACACCTTTCAACAGTATTTTATCATTTGGTAATTGATCCTTGTAACTTGAAAGTTATTCGCGTGACGGATATAACAGTATAAATGCTCTATTGACGAGCGAGTATGTGTCGGTGGCACAGCGGTGGAGTGTTAGCCAACCACGCCTCATGTGGTCCGGGGTTCGACCCTCGGCCGACCCACTCCTTTACCTCGCTAAGCCAGTAATAAAGACTGGTATAAGGGGAAGGTTGGGCATGCGACTAGCAATATCATCCCGTAAAAATAAACACCACTGCTACAGAAACTTCAAGTCTCTAGCCTGAAGCCCTATGTTCCACTGGGAACGTAAAGGAATAAAAAATATATTTTAAAAACTTGATGAGCGATTAAATACTTCATGAACCGACTCCATTTTGAGTAAACTTGATTGAGTTTGAACAGATATGATATAATAAAGTTAGTAAAGGCATGGATGCAACTGTGAACAAACTGATGATGATATTCTATCTTCAACCATTAAGCTAAGGCGCTAATCTCCCACTTCCCTTAATAAGAGATCTGAACAAACTATAAAGTCCTCACAAAATCAATGTGACTTACTGACAGAATTACGCTGTGTGATAAGGGAGCGTAAAGAGGAAATAAACTTAAATCTTACTGATGAATCTATCTATAGTTTACATATTCCCATAATTCATAATTATTATTATTATTGTATCCTTTAATTCCTACAGGAACATAGGGCTTCAGCCATGCGTCTCCATTGCGTTCGGTTCTCTACTAGAGTTTTCACCTGAGTCCAAGTCTGCCCACATGCTTTCATCTCCTCTTCACATCAACTCCTCCAAGTCACCCTTGCACTGACGACCAACTCGCCGCTTCCCTTTCGGGTTCCACTCAAGTGATGGCTTGTCTAGTGATGTCACTTGATGGTTTCCTCAGAGTATGGCCAATCCATCTCCATTTCTTCCTGCCTATTTGTTTCACAATCGGTTCCTGGTTTGTTCGCTCCCAGAGATCCCTCCTTGTTGCTGATCTTTTCTGGCCATTTGATCTTAGGTATTGAGCGAAGACAACTGTTAATGAAGGTCGGTAGTTTGTTTGAGATGCTCTTTATGACGCGCCAAGTCTCTGATCGGTACGTATAGTAGGGAGCACTGACTTCACATTGGAGTTGGAAATCCGGATCTTATTTTTGATGCTGAGTGCTGTAGACCTCCAAACAGACGAATTAAACAGGCGAATACGTATTTTCAGTAAATTCTTATCGGGTTTTACACTTACATAATGAAATATTAGTCATACATAGACATTAGAATATCAAGGATCAGAGTTCAGGGGGATGTGAATTAATCGATAACAATCGAGGTGATCATCATAATAGTAATAATAACAAGGATAAATTTATTCAAGTGTTTATATAATCTGGGCTACGCTAAGTGTACAGGTAGAATGTGCATATCAGAAGGGGGAAAAGGGGAAAATAACTATTGTCACATAACGATTAGACAATTTGATAAACCGAGAATAAAATGTACAACCACAGCACAGCATGATACTGATAATACAGTTAGCATTACAATTAAAATGAAATTATAAAAAAAAATAATGACATAATATTTACAAGAGATAACTATTTTAGGTTGGGAGCGAAGGACAAGGGAGGGAGAGGGATTGAAAAAACTTTTTTCTGAACACAGATTGGGTCGAAAAATCATCATGGCAACTGTCTCAGCTTTGCTTAGCAACCGAACATGTACCAACCTAGGGAGTTGAGGTGGCATCCTATGGTATAAAATCACTATTGAGAAGATGATTAAATTATCTAATTGAATAACATCAATCCATTTTACTGAGTGATACTCCCAATAACTATCCAAAAACACTGTCGCCTAAATATACTTAATGATAATGGTAGGTTCGTAGGTTTTACTATTATAATTTTTTTTCCTTCACGTTCCCTAGTGGAACATAGGGCTTCAAGCTAGTGGCTTGAAGTTTCTGTAGCAGTATTTATTTTACAGGATGGGGTTGCTAGCCTCATGCCCAATATTTCCTGTACACCAGCATTATTTCTGGCTTAGCGAGGTAAAGGAGTGACTTGGCCGGGGATCGAACCCTGGACCACATGAGGTATGGTCGGCGAGCGTCCTAACCGCTATGCCACCGAAGCGGTGGCACATACAGCTTCAACAACATATCTACACTTTGTCCTATTTTCTTTTCTCCTCTTCAGCTGGGTCCACAATTGACCATAATCTCTCATCTCCTCCTCCCAACACCATCTCATGTCACCATCGCACTGACGACCCACTCGTCACCACCCATTGCGGTTCCACTCAAGTGATGGCCTGCATTGCATACGATATTATTCGGCAGTTTCCTCAAAGTATGCCCGATCCATCTCCATTTTCACCTACATATCTGTTGAGCAATCGGCTCTCGCCTGTTGGTTTGTTGCCAGTCAGAGTTTCCTGTTGCTAACACTTTCTTTAGGTGAATATAATTTTCATTCTTTTTTTGTTCTGAGTCAAACATATGCCTTCAAGCTTGAAGTATGACGTTTCATTACTAGTAGGGTTTCTTTTTAAGGAGTGGGGTTGCTAGCCTCACGCCGAACCTCTCCCTCTTTACCAAGCTTTACTACCGGTTAGGCGGAGGTTTAAGAATGCATCAGCCAGGAATCCAAACCCCGGCCATGTGCATGGTTGGCTGAACTACAGACGCACAGGTGATAGTAAGGATATGATTCAATTAAAACAAATTTTGGATAATAAGATATCCTTGTACACATTGAAATATGTACATCATGACAAAATAAATTGACAGACTAAGAAATCCGATAGATAATGTACACATCAGAATTATTTCATTAGTAAGATAAACAAACATCATTCAAAATGCTCAATAAAAAAAAACTTACCAAATTAGCCATAACAATTGTATCATACATTTCAGTAGTTGGTGTAGGACCCAGGGTAAATTGAAGTCCACGTGGTGGTTTCATATTCGCCTCTTCAATACAATGACCTTCAAGTAAAAGATGTTCTAATTCAAAGACAGCCTCTACTAAATGTTTACTAGATTGATAATCAGACAGACGTAAATTGTCTAAATCTTGTTCAGCTTCAATAGCAGCAACCATCCAACCATGCGGTTCATCCATTCCTAAAGTGAGCAATGATTGGCCAGGTAAATTGGTGAAGTAAGCACGAGGAGAGATAGCAGAGTCAACGTGAGCAGATTCATTTGTAGGAAAAAGGGACGGTTCCCATACAAAACGGTAGAAACTAAAAATAAAGAGAAACAATAAGATTATTAGTAGTCTCACTGGATCAAATAAATGAAGAGTATTCACGAGTTGATTGCAGATTGATATCAGTTAGAGAACCATTGAAAACCAGCTCTGGAGTACTGGACAGCTGCTGTTTAATCCTAGTTTGGGAATCATCGGCAGTACGCACCCACCGCCAGGGCTCGAACCCAGGACCTTCCGGTTACAAGGCAAGCTGGCTCGTATACCATTCAGCCACCACTGGGACCCGATTCAGTGGCCGGCCCATGAATTCTAAGTTCTTCCAATTCGTGATTTTAGCGCGATCTCAATGGTTCTCTAACTGATATCAATCTGTGATCAACTCGTAAAAACATAACTAACCCTTACAAACCAAACTACAGAAGAATATTCAACAAGAAAAATAAGTATATCTGACATTTTCTGAAATATATATGAAGTGACATCCTTACAACACTTTTTCTCAGACAAATATAAATCACCACCTTAGGGCCTAAATTAGTTATAAGGAAATAGCCGAACCATCAGTAACTGATATCCGTACAAGCATGTTGAACTCAACAAGAGGAAATAAATAAATCGATGATTAGGGACTATAAATAAATTTAATTCGGGTTCGACTCTCAACCAACACACTCCTAAAACACGTAGCCGGTAGTAACTCTGGTAAAGAGGCAAGGTTGGATGTGGGGCTAGCAACCCCATTCCGTAGAAACAAATGCCACTGCTATTGAAACTTCCAACCTCAAGCACCAAGTCCTGTCGTAACGACAGAAGACAAGGGCCAGGCAACAGATCGTTTATTGAGAAAATCAAGAGGTATTCTTCGATTTTTATGTACATTATTATAAGCGTTATTGTTAGCAGAGAAGCAACGTCTTCTGATTGGTTGTTTTCTTGCTGAAGGTTATTCTGTACTCTTTGTGACCGTTTCTTAGAAAGTTAAGCCATATGTCCACAAATCGTATTTGCACACGCTAAGTCTTCTGTGATTAGTTGTTGAGTTCCTCAAGGTTAGGCTTTGTTCTTGTTTTTTCTCAAAACCACGGGTCGGGACGTAAACATTAACGTAAATTGTTGCTTACAATTTTGGCTTGCAGGCAGCTCTCACCACACTACATTCTACTCAGAACACCACACTATATTGTAGATGTGTTCACCGTTATCCTCATTTGATGTAATGTTAAATTTCTCACTTAGCCCGATAACGATATTCGAATGTGTAGACGTTTGAGGTACAAATAAAAATAATCTTGAATTCGATCTACAAATCTACCCTACTATTGAAATATCTACAATACTGTATATAAACGAATAAACGATATATCTACTCTTCCGTTACCACCTTACTGGAATATATAATAATGAAATAAGAATTCAAGCCTACCTCTTCACTGGTAATTCCGACAATGAAGCAGTTGGATTCAGTAGAACTTTTACAGTACACGGTAAAGAGTGCTGCAATACAAGAAGTATGTGTGAAAGACGTTGAGCATCACGAGACGCTGGATCAATAATAGCGATTACTTCAAAATTCGGTTCTTTTTCATTACCATAAATAATAAAGCCAGAGTGTTTGTAGGTTACATCCTGAAGGCGTATTCTATGTCCATTATGAGCTTTATCAGAGATTCCATCGACTGAAGACTGAAAAAGTAGATAACAGTATGAAGGAAATTAGTCTATCAGTGACTATTCATGAATACAATTTAATGACGTACAAAATAAATACAGAATTTACAACAACAACAAAAAACAGGTGCGTATTCAAGTATTGGTTTGTATGGATTTGATTGACTGGTGTTACAGGATTTCATCATGAGCTGACATCAGTTAGAGAACCATTGGAAAACCTACATGGAGTACTGGACAACTGTTTCGTCCCGGTTTGGGACTCTTTGATGATACGCACCCACCGGGGTTCGAACACAGGACTTATGATAGTAATATACACTAATCAGCAGAAATCACATCACATTTTACGCTAATGCCAGATCAGAAATAAAGTATTTCTACATGAACTTCTTTTAGTTCACTTTAATGGAGTTGAATTTTTTATGCTGTCAAGAAGTCTGATAATTATTCAACATAATAAATATTATTGCTATTATATTACACATTGTTGGACCTATTTCTTTGGAGATATTAGATACTGCGATTGAAATTCATCAAGGAGAACTTATGAGATACACTTATCACCAGCATTGTACCAGTTTGAAGAGTTATGATGATTACGTGAAGCTAGTGACTGAATACAGGACGAAGTTGACTGACGTTCTAATGAGCAGTCATGATCACTGGGCTCTATCCGGTTGCAAGTGAGGAAGAATACTCACCGATGACATTGGTTGGTGGTCGTGCTAAAATCACGAATCAGAAAAAGTTAGAATTCATGGACCATTGAATCGGGTCCCAGTGGCTGAATAGTATACCAGCTTGCCTTGTAAAAGGAAGCTCCTGAGGTTCAAAATCCGGTGGGTGCGTAATTTCGACGAGTACCAAACTGGGACGAAACCACTGTCCAGTAATCCCTCACTTTCAATAATTTTCTAAGGGATATCAATCCATGACAGAACTTGAAACATCAGGTTACCAATTAGCACGATTGTTACGCGTAAATTCTGCTATTTGGAATCGTATACGTACAGCTACAGTGTCTTTATTATTTCAACCCAAGACGCTATCTCCGTATGTCGAATTAAAAAAGGAATAAGCAATTGAGGACTTATTGATTAATTGTCAGAAAGTTGTGCATGAATATGAATATCATTGACAGATTTTAACTGGTCCAACTATAGGCAAAGTTAAACTTTAAGCACTGATGGAGTACGACGCACCAAGATATACAAGGTATCCATGAAAACAATGAATGAAACTGCATGAGACTGTTACACGGGATACCTTTCTCTGTCATGTGACGAAAATGCCTCCCAGTTTAGCACTAGAGTGTCAACAGAGTAACTAAACCACATTCCATACATATATTCAACCTAAGTCTTCTAATCTAAATCTTAACCTCAATCTATCTCTAACCTTAACCCAACGCCAACCTATCCCTAAAATAACCATAATCAAGCTCGAACCAGTTCTAATATCTCCCTTATTAGGTTAATGTAGCCCTAACCTGTCCATAAACTAAACAATAACTAAATCTTTCCCAAACCTACAAGATATCCCATTTAATATCATATCATATCATATGATTACGGTGTTATTTACCGGGTTTCACTAACTTATTGACTGGGAGTTGCAAAGTAACTAATACTGTTGCGACAGCACTCCCCTGGTGCTTAAAGTTTAACTCGGCTCAACTACACATCTTAGACAAATATTAATCTTTTGTTTTGGCCTAAATGTTACATATACCTAATTTTCTTAAAATATTGCATTTATTTTTATAACACAGTGATGTTTGCAATTTCCCCCACTTATGATCTCTAAACCAATTTGGTTGTTAACTATTTTAGCTTATCAAATGAAGACATTTAAGTCTATATATATGGAACTACTGTCAAGCTGTGTTTTTTTTCACCGTTGATCCGAGACAGTAAAAGCTTTCTACTCAATGATCTGTCTTCTTCCTTCTCCTTCTTCTTCTATGCGTCACGTGTCAGTAACATCGTCTGGTGGTTGGTTGTCATTGCAAACATTGATTACGACAGTAAGTAAGTGGCTCGCAAATCTACTAGTTACGAAGTTCATTAGCGCTAGAAACTCGTATACAACGAAGTGGTATTTAGAGAAAAGTATCCAGCAAAGAATATCCTTTCCGATAACTTCCTGTTCTGGATCTACAATTACATACATATTTGTATACACGGAATATTCTAGAATGATCGTCATACTTGCCGAATCAACCAGCCCTGAAAATGGATTGCGCTCGAGCGTTGGAGCTATACCATACCATTGCTACAAACTGGACCTAAGCAGGTTGACAGCAGACTGATTTGGTCCAAGCATGGAGCGGTGACGACGAGTAGGAGAGTCCTCTGTGGCTGGAGGGAAGCCTAAGGCACAGATCTTGGTGGTAGTAGCAAATATTCAAATGAGAACCTTGAAGGTCGAAGTGGAGAAGGGTTCCATGAGAACAGCAGTTGGCCATAGATATTTGACAGTCATATCACTCTCAAGTAATAAACCTGAAAACTGTCTTCCCATACAGGTTAAACATATTCATGAATTTGGCTTACCAAGACTCATTCTTCAAAAACAAAAAACTAAGCTCTCGATATTTTGTTTAATTCTCTAATACAAAGTTTGAATAAGCACTGCAAAGTGTCCTTTCATAGCATCAATAGAGCAGATGTTGAAAAGTTAAGGACTTTCAGGATTTCATCATGAGCTGACGTCATCATTTAGAGAACCATCGGAAAACCAGCTAGGAGTACTGGACAGCTGTTCCATCCTAGTTTGGGACTCTTTATCAGTACGCACCCACCGAGGTCTGAACCCAGGACCTCCTGGTTACAAGGCGAGCCCGTGGACCATTAAGCCACTGGGACCCAATCCAATGTTTCATGATGAAATCCTGAACCCAATCATCAAATCCCTGCAAACCAACACTTGAATATTAAGGACTTTCATTATCATCGTATGATTAAGATTCTAATTTACAATTTAGACAGTGTGACAGACATCAAAACAATTCTTGAACTCCAAATGTTCACCATCAACTACACAGTAACACTATGAAAAGGGGAGTGATGCAAAGAAAAACTATAAACGTGGGAGTGAGAGACAAACAGAAAAAAAGCCTTATTAGTAAAACAAAAACAACAACTAACCGTTTCTGATATCACTGAACTAGTAGCTTCAATACCTGATTGAAGAACTGACGACATTTGCCAAGTGAGTTCAGAAATAGTCTCCGGTCCACCGAATTTCTGCCCAACAATTTCTTCTAATGTATCACCAAGTTGTTTAGCTCCATTATCCAGAGCCATTCTTTCTGCTAAACGATAATCATCGCTTAAGAATTCTTCAAATGGTTCTAATGGACCTAAAATCTGAAATTAGATATGATAAAGATGAGAGGCCTCAAATTAATGCAAGATATTTACCTTTTAAGTCGTGTATGTTATAAATAAATATATATAGTCAGTGTGTTCTTAATGTGACAGCAGTGCTGAAACTATCTTCTAGCCTGATAATAAAACGTCCCCAATTAAATATCAAACCTCAATTACAGGATACAAATATTTTTCTATTTTAAAGGTGATCATCAAACACTATTGAGACTCTCTAACAAGATAACTACCCAAAGAACTTCATCAACAAAATCAACACTGACATTAAGTATGGTCAAAAACGTATTCCGAAAACATGGACCTCAACAGTTGTCATTCCATATAGAGTGGAGACGTCAGACGATATCAGAGGAGTACTCAATAAGCTCGACATCAGAGTTTTCTTCAAAACATCAGACACACTGCGAAACAACCTTGTTCATATAAAAGACCAAATCCCTAAGGATTCTCTATCAAATTGTGTCTACAAAATAAAATGCTTGGAATGTGATGTGATATACATAGGACAAACATCTCGAGAAATCAAAATCAGAAGAAATGAACACCGTAGACCCGACTCTGTTCGACCACCGAGAAATCCAGTTAGTGAACTAGAAAAGCTTGAAAAATCATCACCCATAGGTCGTCTACACGCTATAGAATCAGGCCATAAAATTGATTTTGACAATATTGAAATAATCCAGAAAAATTTCAGAAATCACAAAGAACATCTAATATCATCGAAAGCACTTCATATCAGGTAGAATCCAAATTGTCTGAATACGAATGATGGTGAACTAGAACAGAATTTGACCTGGTTACAACACCCCCCTCCCCCATGAAATGACAAAATCAATACGAATGTGATAAGCACTTTCCGCATCCGCGCTTTGATATCCTCATCAGTTCCGTCCGCCTGTAGTTGAAACGATGCTTCCCAGGTAGGTAGGTAAAGGAGGTTGCTTCTTTCACATTTCTCCCATTTATGCCTATTGTTATCTGTTGTTGTGGTTGTTGCTGTCGCTGTTGGCCAGGAATCTACATCACCTCTTTTTTCTCTATGTTTACCTGTCGTTGATGCTTCTTCTGTCACCAACTTGTTGCTTTTCACTTGCATATCTTCCAGTTTGTGGGAAATCATATATATATATATACATGTCGCATTATTCAGTCTACCGCAATCAGGAAAATCATTGGAGATAGTAGGCAGCCAGCTTGTCTTACTCCCGTCTTCACTTCGGGGGACGCCATGAGTTTCCCGTTGTGGATTACTTGGCATGCAGCATTGTCGTACAACTGTTCGATGAGGTGTATAATTGTTGGCGGCACCCTGTATTAGCGAAATAGTCTCGAAATCACCTCTCAATCGACGCTATCGAAGGCATTTTCAAAGTCGATGAAGTTGAGATAGAGAGCTGAGTGTCATTCCAAGCTCTGTTTAATGATGATACGTAGTGTTGCGATTCGATCGATGCATGACTTGTTTCTCAAGAATCCAGCCTGTCGAAGTTTTTCATCCAGGGTGTGTTTGATTCTCTCCAGCATGATGCGTATTAGTAGTTTGCTTGGGATAGACAGGAGCATGATGCTGCGCCAATTCTTGCATTGACTTAAGTCTCCTTTCTTTGGCAGTTTGAATAGGTAGACTTTCTTTTAATCTGCAGGTACATTGCCCTCTTTCCACACCTTCTTCAGAAGTGGTGTCATAGTCCACCATGACCAATCACTTTATTTAACTCAGCCCAACAGATCAATAATGTGCTGAACAGCTAAGCTGAATGCTACACTAAGTAGTACAGGATTATAGCTCAAATGGAGTGGTCTAGCATACACCTAGCTGATAAGTGTCGAAACACACGCACACACCCACGAAAGGCATATCCAGAGTTCCCTGCTGATTGTCGTCGGCTACTTACAGTTATAAAATTATTAATAACATTAAAAAAAGGAATTTACATTTGTTTTCACCAGCATAAACAATAGAGAGAGAGCGACGCCCATAAAACAGAAATAACTACAAAGTGATTTCATGCACATAAATCTTCAGCACAGCAATCAACATTAAACTTACTCTACCATTCACCACAACAGCTCGTTCACCAGGTTTAAGACCAATAATCTGACGAGCAACAGATGAATGCATTTGCATAAAATTATTTCTATCCAATAGGTGAAGAGCATCTTGTATCTTTTTTGTATCCATACTCTAAACATTTTAAAAATACAAAAAAATAAAATAAACAAATAAAGTTTAGATCATCGAGGAAGTTGAGTTAGATATCAACTCAATAAATATGTGTGTGCTGAATTCGTTACCCCAGGCTCTATATGAGCCAATCATATAAGAGCATTTAACTTTTCCAATCTAAACTGAATGACAATAATTTAAAATACTTGAAACAATGAATATCATCACCCTACTATAGAATGACTTAATTCCAATAGATTAAACATCAACACAATTTATTAGTAAGGTTTTCTACTGCTCGTTGGTTACTAGCACAAAGAAAGATTTCTCAAAGCTTTAAGGGAAAAACGGTGAGGAATAATGTCGAGTATTGAGGCAATTAATGAAAAATGACAGTCAGTAAGAGTTATGTTATGTTGCGGATTGGCAGAAATCCGAAATAATAGGCCAATGGATCGACATGGAGGTGCTCAAGATGTTAGAAACCAATATTCGGAGACTATTAGTCATACAACTAAACCTCGTCCGCAGTATTATATCACATAACATTCGTTCTTTGCGTTCGGAAAGGAAAAAAAGACTCCAGCAGCTTATCTCAACTGGCTCCACGACTTTCAACAAACTTTCATTTCCTCTTCACATGATCTCCTCCATGTCACCTTTAGAAGTCCTCCCTGTCGCTTCCCATTTGAGTCCCACTCGACGGCTCGGTATGATACCACATATATGTCGCTTTAACGTATATCCATTCCCATCTCCAATTTCTTTTGCAAATTCTTTGGATAATACGTGGAAAGTTATTCACTCCTCGTCATCTTACAGATTCTTAAATTCCTCAGTATTGTTCATCCGATTATTCTCTGTCATGCACCTTTATCCAATGCAGTTTCGCTACATTCTTTACACTGCTTCTGTGTACTTTACCGAATTGTAGCGACTTGAATAAATACAGTTTGTCCGAAGTCCTACATTGATAATTTCGTTTAATCCAATGAGTCATAACCGAGTGATAACATTTCACTGCTTCTTAACTGTTGGTCGTGGTTAGTTTTAGTCTGCCTTCTACACATATGAACACAAAGTTTGTATTTCGAGTTTGACCACGGATTGATATCAGCTAGAGAACCACTGAAAATCAGCAGGGAGTACTGGACAGCTGTTTCTAGTGAGAAGTCGTGACCACTGGGCTCCATCCGGTCGCGAGTGAGGATGGAGTTCTCGCCGATGGTGGTCGCACTAAATCACAAATTCGTAGAAATTAGAATTCATAGGCTGGTCACTGAATCGAGCTCCAGTGGCTGAATGGTATACGAGCTTGCCTTGTAACCGGAAGGTCCTGTATTCAAAACCCGGTGAGTGCGTACTGGCGATGATTCCCATACTAGGATGAAACAGCTGCCCAGTACTCCCTGTTGGTTTTCAATGCTTCTCTAACTGATATCATTCCGTCGTCAAACTCGAAAAACAAATCAAATCCTCACAAATCAACTCTTGAAAATAAAGTTTGTAGTATGAAACAGTTTTATAATAGAATTAAAAAGGAATAGAATGCGGCGTGAATTTCACTGATCCCCTCTAGAAGAAATCACCTTGAAGTCAATCTATGTACTGAAAAATCTTCCAGGTAATAAAACTACACTGGTTACAGGGTTTCACCTTGAGTTGACATCGGGCGTGAAAAAAAATGCTCACCGCAGACATTGGCTAGTGGTCACTGAATGTCATGAATTCGCTGGATTTGGAATTCATGAGCTGGCGATTGGATCAGGTCCCAGTGCCTTAATGGTCTACGAGCTAGCTTGCCTTGTAACCAGAAGGTCGTGGTTTCAAACCCTGGTGGCGGTGAGTGCGCACTTCCGAAGGGTCCCAAACTAGGCTGACGAGACAGATGGTTGCCCAGTACTCTCAGGTGGTTTTCCAATGGTTCTCTAACCAATGCTGTCAGCTCATGAAATCCTGTGATCAATTGATCGAATCCCTACAAACCAATGCTTGAAAACTACAATGAACAAGAACTATTAGTGTATTATCAAAAGTAAAAACTGTTGATTATTGATTGCATAAAACTATTAAAATTTAGAAGAAAATCACACTTACCGAAACTGCAAGTTCATCAAGTGATTTAAGCGGTTTTGATGCTTTAATCGATTCTAATGTCTCTTTAATAACACGTATACCGAAATTACGTCCTGCCATTTGTTCAGCATATTTTATTTTTGTCATTTCATTATTATTATTGTGAGTGCTAAATTTACTTGATATATTGGTAGGATATCCAACTAGATATAGAACACGTGTTAACCAACTATCCAAATTTTTCCCTGGATCAATTGATTTCGATGGATTGAATACAAAACCAATACGTAATCCTTTAGTGGAATGACTACTACGTAGATAAGTTAATGCATTCAAGGCTAAATTTAAATCCATTTCAAGGGATAAACGATCTTCTTCAGATAATGTTGGATCCACATGGATATCTAAATCTCCAATAACAATCCACATAGTAACTGGTCGAATAGATGCTTCCACATCTATTGGTAAAACGAATAATAAGCCAAAAAGAGTGACAACAGGAGTAAAAATCTTCAGTGAATGGTGATCTTATAGCTAATACAAAATATTATAACGCTTTGAAAAATCTTGATATTCAAATGAAAACCACAGTCTTAGTAGTACAATAACCGCTTAAGTCATTTCTGTTTAATTACATCATAGATGTACTGGTGGAACTGATCCTAACTGAATTCAGCGAAGTAGGCATTGAATACTTACCAGAAAATGGTTTTGTTGCCTTAGAATATGCAGATGATATAGTCCTTCCTCCTAGGTGAAGACGCTGACAAAATGCAGAGTCTTCTGAACACCTTGAGGGGCAGCAATCTTCGAATGTTTGGCATACGATTCGCTCCCTTCGTCAAATGTAAGATGATGCTACAGAACTGGGCTGGACTACATTGACTCCTAGCTTGAAGATGGAAAAATATGCATGGAGATGTATACTGCACATCAATTCGTTCCGTCCTTCTTTATGACTGTGAGCGAGACATGATCATTGAAAGTTGAAGACATAAAAAGACCAGCTGTCTTAGATCGCAGGTGTCTATGTTCTATCACCCATTTTAAGTGTTATAATAGAGTGAGTAATACTTAAGTCAGGCGTTGAGTGTTACGCAAGGAGGGAAAATCTATCGATGAGGTTGTGGAACTACATCAATGGAGATGGTTAGGACATGTGTTACGCATGCATGGAAATCGCCTTCCTCAATGGGTTGGAAAAGAGTTAGTGGCAGTCAAACCAAAACATGAAATCAGTCCATGAAATATTCAACAGTTAGTTTGAGTAAGCCACACCAGGAAGTGTAGACTGGCAGGCTGGTTAGGGTTGTAGGGATTCTAAGAACCAACGACTGGAGACAATTAGTGAGTTTCAGACAATTACGTCAAATAACATTATGGTATAGACTGATTCACTGCAAGAAGAATGATTCAAACTGTACATCAGTAAATATGCTGTTTTTCTCTTAACCAAATCCACAGACTCTGAGAAACTGCATAAAAAATCCCCAGCTCATATGAATAACTAATGGACCGATGAGGAGCAAAATATTAAGTTCAGCACCCATATGCTTGAAGGTGTAATCACGACGAAATAATAACTCATGGAAAATCCCCATTGGGACATATAGAAAATTAAAACAAGTGATTCGGAGTAGAGACTCCCATCAACGAATTTATTATCAAGCTGTACAAACCTGTATATGCATATGTGGTTTTGAAGAAATTATATCCAATGAGAGAATTGAATCATAGGTGTGTGAATACATAAAATAATAATAGTAGTATGAAATGCAATTAAAGTTAAAATGTTTGTGATTATGATCATAGTTAAATGTTATGTGACAAAACAAATAATGTTATAATTCATAAGATGTATAGATGTTAGAAGGGCTGTGAAATTATAGAATTAATAGGCGAATAGAATAAAAATAAAAACCTTATGTGACTTTGTGTGAAATTTGATAACATAGAATTTAACGTTGCAAAACAAAATCGATTTGGAATGACAAGTGGGACGAGTGGAATAATACCGGGGACAGTTTAAAGTGAGAATAATAATAGTAAGAACTTACGTAAGAAGGGAAAAGTATACAAATTGAATAAACAAAACGAAAATACGTTGAGTCGCAGTATGTTTAGGGATTATCAAACTTTAGCATAAGTGGGATTAAGACCCTGAAGCTGGAGGGGTTGAACGGACTTTTTCTGTATACAGAGATCTGACTTCTCTATGTCGATGGCCAAAGCTTCAGTAATACAGATGAGTCGGATACGTAGTGATTTGGGTAAATTACTTCTCGCCTTGTAGATGACTTTAAGGGCAGAGACTGTAGAGAAAGGGTGATTATTATTGACCAGATGTTCAGTGATCGCGCTTCTTATAACTCCACTTCCACCTCTTTGTAACCATGCAGGATAGTGTTCTTACATCCTCTTGGACAAAACTCGAGTCGAACGACCGATATACTTAGCTCCACACGAGCAGGTGAGATGATAAACGTACATAAAGTCGGTCAACTATGGGATCTTGTCCTTCAGGTTATTGAACAGTAATGGTAGACTGTAAAGCGCTATTCTCAACGATACAGCAGGGAATGTCCTTTTCAGGGACTGTGAGATCTTTCTTTTAATGACATCGGAAGCTAAGTCACATTTGAATTCCAAGCTCATGTCCAGTATTTTCTTGGTTACCGATGTTAAGCCGCATTTCATAGGTTTTGACTGTATGTTCTTGTCTATAAAACATGACGGAAATCCATTTTCTATTACGTCAATTGTTACTATTACGATTCTCACTTTGAATTGTCTCCGGTATTATTTCACTCATCCCACTTGTCATTCTAAATCAATTTTTGTTTTGCAACGTTAAATTCTATGTTATCAAATTTCACACAAAGTCACATAAAGTCTTTATTTTTATTCTATTCCCTACTAATCCTATAATTTCACACTCCTTCCAAGTTCTATACATCTTATGAATTATGACATTAATTGTTTTGCCACTTGACATTTAATTATGATTATAATCACAAATATTTTAAGTGGATTTCATATTGCTATAATCATTTTATATATTCACACACCTATGATTCAATTCCCTCACCGGATATAATTTCTTAAATACCACATATGCATGTATATACGATTGTACAGCTTGATAATAAATTCGTTGATGGGAGTCTCTTCGCTGTAAACAACAAACTATTGACTTATTTTACTGAGTTATGTGTACACCGATCATTAAGAGTAATATTCTATTCTATGCTAACACTTTTGTCACATTCAAAAGTCAATAATCCTACTAAAAAGAAACAAATAATAAAACAATATATTAATCACTTACGTGTCTATCTTACCTCCTTTCTGAAAATAACGCATTTGATCTAGAAATGATTTTAATAATTCCGAAGTAGACAATTTTTCATTAGCAGCTGGTTAAAAGGAAAGAAAAAGGGCCAACATGAGTGATAAATGAAGTAAAACGTAGAAAAAATTAATATTTATCAGTACATTAAATTTGAAACAGTTTGCCTCTTTAGTAATAAGTTGTAATAAGATATTCTAAAGATAAACACTGAGCGATGATATCATTACGTAATCCCGCCTACAGCCACGTTACAACTAGCGTGACTGACAATAACAGAATATAATTAATTAATTGGTTACAGGATTTCATCATGAACTGACATCATCGGTTAGAGAACCATTGGAAATCCAGCTGGGACTACTGGACAGTTGTTTCGTTCTAGTTTGGGAATCTCAATCAGTACGCATCCACAATGCAGCGTTCCAACCCACGACCTTCTGGTTACAAGGCGAGCCAGCTCGTAGACCATTAGGCCACTGGAACCCAATCCAATGGTTAGCTGATGAATTCCAACTTCAGTTAATTGATGACAGCGTGACCACTTGCCAATGTTATCAGTCGAGAGTATTTGTCCTCACACCCGACCTGCTGTACCCTACTGGTCACGACTTCCCACTAGAACCTCAGGTAACTACCTACCTGAATAGGGTTAGTCAGCAGTGAGCCTCTCATTGATATTTAAGTATTAATTGTCAGACATATCACTGTTAATCATGCTTGTAATCTCGCCTAGTTTACTAACCATTCCTACTATTTATTATCTTTATTTTACTTCTTCACGTTCCAAGTAGAACATAGGACTTCGATTGGCAGTGAGCTTTTTTATTTTACGGAGTGGGGTTGCAAGCCTCTGTCCTCAACCTTCCCTCTTTACCATCCTTACTACCGTGCTTAGTGAGGTTTAGGTGTCTGTCGGCTGAGAGTCGAACCCCGGACCACGTAAAGCATGGTTAGCGAGCATTCTACTGATAAGCCACCAACGCCACATCAACACAATTTATTGATAAGATTTTCTACTGGACGTTGATTACTAGCACAAAGAAAGATTTCTCAAAGCTTTATGGAAAAACGGTGACCGAAAATGTCAAATGTAAAGGTAATTACTCAAAGACGACAGTCAGTAAGAGTTATTTTATGTTGCAGATTGGTATAAATTCAAAATCATAGGCCAATGGATCTAACTGGGGGTCTTCAGGATGCTAGAAACTAATGGTCAAAGACTATTGGTAACATAACTGAAAATCGTCCGCAGTATTATACTATGATACATTGGTTCCTTGAGTTTTGAGTGGAATACAGGAACTCAGCATTCCATCTCTAATGCACTCCATGTCGGCCTTTATTTTCAGTTGGATCCAGAACTACCCACAAGTTTTAGTTTTAGTTTCACGCGATCGCCTCTATTTCCCCAACGACACCAGTCCTAAGCCAGGAAAAATAGGGGAGGTTGCGTACGGGGTTACCGACTCTACTCTGGAAAGTCATCCTAATTGTTACATTAACTTCAAAACACAGGAAAGCAGCAAGGAACTCTGACAACCAACCAATCAACAACGTGCTCCCCAACAAATATGCTGAAGGAAGCAGAGATGGATCGGGCACACGCTGAGGAGACCTTCAAAAGACATCACGTGCTAGGCTTCGGAGTGGAACTCGAAAGGGAAATTACGAGTTGGGAGTCGGCTCAAGGATGACATCGGGGAGACGATATAAGGGGGAGATGACAGCTTATGGGCAATCGTTGGCACAGCTTAAGACAACTCTACAGGACAGGATAAAACAGACATGTGCTTCTGAAGCCCTATGTTCCACTCAGAACCCAAAAGAATAATAATAATAACGCTAGTTGTAATGTGATTGTAAGGGTCAATGAAATAATATATGAAAGCCTTATGAATGATAACAAAACTGAAAAGAGAACTTCTTGATTGAACACTAGTATTCATCATTACAGGGTATTTTATGATATCTTGGTTATCACTATCAGTGCGATTCGAATTCATAATAAACACAACAACTCAAATTCATCATAGGCAAATTACACAGTTCCAGGGGGGGAATTCACCTCAATTTCCTTTGGAAACCAAAAATATGCGAATAACAATGTATAAGCTGCTTGATGCCATAAAAAGTAATCAATCTTCAAGAAAAACAGTGCCTCTAGTAGAAACAGTTAACTACATATGTGAACAAGTGGATAACCAGTCGATAAACATTGGCATCCATACTGAAATCCTAAAAGAATTGTTATTAAGGTGTACTATGAATGTAAATTTCAAATTTGATGACACACTTTACAGACAAGTCGATGGGGTGGCGATGGGCTCCCCGTTGGGTCCCATTTTGGCAGATTTCTTTCTAAGTAAACTAGAAAATGGACCTTTGAACAACCTTATCAGAAAGTTCTCATTTTATTGCCAGTATATGGATGACAATTTCATTCTTTGTGATAATGATTCAGATAGGAGTACGATATTAACTGAATTCAATGAAGTACATTCGTCTATGAAATTCACGTGCGCAGAGGAATCCCAAAACAGAATCGCCTTCCTGGATGTCCTACTTACAAGAAAACCAGATAGTAGCATAAAAAGAAATTTGCATAGAAAAAGTACTTGGACAGGACAGTATACATATTTTCACAGCTTCGTTCCTCTCAAGTACGAAAGAAATTTATTCAAGACCCTCAGCCACAGAGTAAGAGCTATATGCTAAGCATTGTATATGATACTTTGATCGAAAATAGCTATCCCGACAAATTTATCAAGAAACACATGACAAAGAAAGTGGAAAAGGACTACTCACTATCCGTAAACAAGAAGCCTTTTCACATATGAATACAATTCAAGGATGACATACCTAGCGAATTAATTACGAAGAAGTTAAGAAAATCAGTTCAAAAAACTTTTAATGCTGGCATACTTTTTTTCCTTCACGTCCCCCAGTGGAACATAGGGCTTCAAGCCTCCAACTTAAAGTTTCTGTAGCAGTGTTTATTTTACAGGATGGGGTCGCTAGCCTCATGCCCAACCTTTCCTCTTCACAAGCATTATCTCTGGCTTAGCGAGGTAAAGGAGTGCGTTGGCCGGAGATCGAACCCCGGACCATGTGCATGGTCGGCGAGCGTCATAACCACCATGCCACCGACGCTGGCATACTACTTATCTTATTTTTTACATGACCTATGGTGTTTCCTCGACTGAAAGATGAAGTACTCAGACTAACCACTTCAAATTGTATCTACCAGTTGAACTGCGCTTGTGGTGGAACGAGTTATATTGGCCGTTGCTCTAGGAACTTGATTTTTCGTGTTCGCTCGGGAACACCTACCAGTGTGGCTAAATAAAGGTGTAGTAGAAACCATCAACAGTTCAATAATAGACCATCTGGTTCAAACCGGCCACAAAGACAGCCAGCACTGAAGAATCCTTCTCTATCATCTACCGGGTAACAAATAAATTGCCAAAATCATCGAAGCACTACATGCTCCAAACAGCAAAGGTTATCGCAATTCGCGTGAAACAACCAGTCCTTTGTGTGCAAAAGAAGCAAGTCCAGCCAGCCACTACTACTGCTCTGGCCGGCCTTCAGTAGAGACTATAAATTCATGAATTTGTAATATTATCTTTCCTAATTTTTCTGACATTCAGTTTATTTTTATGTTGATGCTATTGAACTGTAATCCACTGATATTATTATTGATTCGATGTTATTTAAACAACATTAATGTTGTTCATAACACTAATTCATTCATTCACTATAATGTATATATAACTGTAGAGCCTGATGATGAAGTTATCGAAAAGAGTATTCTTTGTTCAGTGTGGTGTCATATACTACTGGTCGATTGATATCAGTAGCTGGCAACCACTCACGTCAAACAAGGCGGCTTGCTAGCCGAACGCATTTATCATAAGAATGAAATATTGCTCTAATTAATAATAATAACAATAATAATCATAAACGAAGACAACTAATTATCAAACAAACTCTACATACAAGATTTATGTTCCACAGAATAACCTTCAAAATTGATATATTTTGGTGCAGTAACACCAGATCGTTGATTTGAATTATCCCCCTTCTTTAATAAGATACGTGAATTGAATCGTGGAACAACAGTAGCTGTTTTCTGGTATAAATCAAATATTGAATGTGAATTTGTCATACTGCCTTGATATACAGCTGACTGGACACGTATAAGCTCTTCCATGCATAAAGTGACTACAGCATCTTCAAAACCGCCAAGTTTTCTAATCCCTTCACTATCCAATATAATTCCATTGAATAGAAGTAATGGAATTTTGTTAATTGAATGCAGTCCAGAACGAACTAGAAATTCATGATGTGCCTAAAAATAGTAAACAAGATGGGTTTGATAAAGCTATTAGCAGCATTAAATAGCGAAACGTCAGTAAAAACAATATCGTTTTGTTTTGCATTCATTGGGAAATACAAAAACCTTTATTATAATGAAGATGTTTTTTTATAAAAAATAGTGAAGCTTGCTTAATATGTCTTCTTTCTATAAACGGGGAAGCTTTAACCATTCACAACAAAAAAAAACACTTCCACACTTTGTCTACAGAAATGCTTTTGGTCAACGACTTCAGCTACAAGCTTGTATATTTCAGCTTTTTAATCTTACGTAATTGCATCCCCGAATTTCGTTATTACTTCGAGTTCTTAGTGGAACATAGAGACTCAAGACTGAACTTTGAAATTTATGTTTCAGTAGCAGTGGTGTGAGGGTGGGATTGATGGCCTCACGCCTAATCTGTCGTCTTTACTGGGCTTATTATAAACTAAGCGAGGTTCAGGAGGGAGTTAGATGGGAGTCGAATCTAGCACTCACATTTCAAAACTTCAGATTTACCTTTTTCATAGTTCAGAATGTCATGCTTTTAAAACAACCACAGCTGAAATCCACTAGCCAAAAAATGTTGGTATATTTTTTAGATTATATTGGACTGACATGACCAATTTGTACATTTGACTCATCTACATTCTAAATTAACGACTCAATATACTTTTTTTTATTCAGAGTAAAGGGATAATCAGAAGATTAAGTGGTGTTTTATTGAAATAATATCCACATAAAAATGACGGTACGTGTTAATTTTAAGTATTGTTATGAGGTGTTCTTTACTCAAAAAGAGATGTAAGTAGTCTATGGCAAAGAAATGGTAATTGTGATTACTAACTAATCGGTACTCATACATCTAATTGGTTTATAGTAAATGCTGTCGCGAAGTCAGCCTGGCTGTCAAAGGTCGGGTTTACAATGCTTCAGTGCGCCCAGTTTTGTTCTACGCCCATGAAACCTAGCCCATCTCTGAGCTGAGGATGTCCGGTAACTCTGCCTATTCGATCATCGCTGTCTCAGTAGAATTGTTTGAGTTCGATGGCACCATCATGTAAGTAATTCAGAGGTCCGGCAGCGTGTGTCTGGACATAGTGGAGACCATTTTTCATTGACCTGGCGTCGTGGGATGAAAGATATTCCTATTAGATTAGCATCAGTCAGTGTGTCACGACTTTGTGGTTGAGGTATGATAGATAGTTCCAATCGGCTACTCGAAACGCTGTCAAATATGCAAGAATCGCAACCAATGGCTAATATGCTGCAACTTCCTTCTTTTTTCCCTTTCTGTTGTTTGGATGACGTCCCTCAATCATTCTCCGTTTATTTTCTTTATATATTACCGTTTTTTATTGCTGTGAAGCGCATCTCTTGGTACCCATATTGTAACAAGTGTGTTTTAAATAAAATAGTGCAAGAAACACGCACATAACATTTATACAAATGTATTTAAATTAGAGAACGAAAAATTAATTTCAGAGGTGAGGCCCTTTACCTATTAAATAAATTTAGGTGACAGATCACTTCATTTGATGAATGAATGAATGAACCTTTAAGAAGAGCATCTATTACGAATGAGATTACCAGCTGAGAGGAGTCAGACGCTTATAAAGTATATCCTCTTCGTTTGACAAACTTGCATCTAGTAACAAACAGTGATATATAGACCTAATTTCCTATATGTCATTTTTAAACGTCTGCTTGTATTTCTCTTATGACACTTATTGATTAGTGATCTAATTTTCTGTACAGTCGTTTCGTCCCATTTTGAGACTCTTCATCAGTACGCACTCACAGCCAAGGTTCCAACCCAGGACCACCTTCTGGTTACAAGGCGAGCTAACTTGTAGACCACTAAACCACTGGGACCCGATCCACTGGCCAGCCCATGAATTGCAACTTCTGCCAATTCACGATATAGCGAGACCACTAGCCAATATCTTCTTCGCCTTGTAACCAGAAGGACCTGGTTTCGAGCTCTGGCGGTTAGAGAGCCATTGGAAAACCACCTGGGAGTACTGGATAGCCAGCTGTTTCGTCAGCGGAGCTTGTGACACTAACGGAGTACGCACGGACCAAGTTTCGAATACAGGACCTTCTGGTTACAAGACTATCGAGCTCGTAGAGAATTAGGCCACTGGGACCCGATCCAATGGCCCATGAATTCCAACTTCTGCCAATTCACAACATAGAGCGACCACTAGCCAATATCTTCTTCGCCTTATAACCAGAAGGACCTGGTTTCGAGCCCTGGCGGTGAGTGCGTACTGATGAAGATTCCCAATCTAGGACGAGACAGATGTCCAGTACTCCCCAGCTGGTTTTCCAGTGGTTGTCTATCCGTTATCAGCTCATGATGAAATCCTATAACCAATCAATCAAATCCCTAATTCTCTCTCACCCTAATTATGACCTTTGGAATCCTATTGGTTGTTCGCTGCTTCTCATGGTCATTTTAAAGCATACATGTACATATACGCAAGCGTTGTCAATCTTCTTTGACTGCTGTTTGAGACAGTAAAAGCTCTCTTATCAATGTCCAGTCATTCTTTCCACCTTTGCGGCCCGGCGGTGTTATTGTTGTTGCTGTTGTTGACGTGCGATTAGGACAGATTAGCCAGCGCATTAAGTTAGTATTCGCACATAGTCTACTAGGTCGTAGTTCCGGTTATAACGAACAGTTAACACTGGCTTTTGCTATGAGCTCTCTCTTTCTCTCTCTGTGAGGACAACATCAAAAAAGTAATTTACCAAAATAATAATAAAATAATATTTTAGCAAAAATAACAACACCAACAACAACAATAAAATATACACACACAAAACTTACATTAACTTCACTATCATAATCACTAGTACCAGGAGCTAGCGAAAAGATATCTTCAGAATCAGCAGATGGAAATAGTCTTTCAAATTTTTTCTTAATTAAATCAACAGTTAACTCGGTGTTTAATTTTTCAGCATTAGCATAGATTTCTGTTAGAAAGGATAAAGCTGCCATTGCACCAGGTGATCCTAAACCGTCTATATTGACAGGAAATGGAGATTCACGTGAATTAGTTATACTAGATGATATATAGGCAGAAATACGTGCCAGTAATAGACCAGTAGAGTTGACTTTAGGATTCACAGACCAAAGGATACCAAAACTGAAATGAAAATGAAATTTAAAGAAAAAAATAGCTAATTATTTCAAGTAGACTAAACAAAGAGAATATTTACAACAAATTTAATTTGAATAATTTCAATCTAATAAAGTAAAATTATTTTTTTTTCAAGATTTGACCACGGACGGAGATCAATTAGACAACTATTGAAAACCAGGGAGTACTGGACAACTAGGTGTTTCGTCCTAGTTTCGGACTCATCGACAGTATGCACCCACCAGGATTAAACCTTATTTATTTAAACGCAGAAAACACTTGGTACAATATGGCACCAAGAAAGATGCGCAACACAACAATAATAAAACAATATAGATTAAAAGTAAAAAAACATAAGTAGACAACGGGTAAAGAATTTCATCTGGAAGGAAAACAGTCATGTTTAACAAGTTCAAACAGTATTCGTTAACTATCATCAGGAAGGGAAGAAAGAAGGAAATTGCAACACGTTCGCCATTGATTACGATTCTTGGCCATATCCGATAACTTTTCGAGCCATCGATTCGAGCTATCTCGCTGACCCCAACCAGGGAGTCGTGACGCACCAACCGATGCTAATCTAGCACAAATATCCTTCATCCCACGACGCCACGTCATGGACTGACCCCCTCTCCGTCTTTTCCATCCCATCCCAGGGCTGGCTAGCGAACAGAGACCTGTACGGAAGCCTCTGGGATGACATTTGCAGCACATGTCCAAGCCACCGGAGCCGGTATTTCCAGATGACGACACTCAATGAATGGTGATCTCCACTGTGTTCAAACACACGCCGCCGAACCTCAGAATTACTCACGCGATGATGCCATCGAATGCAAGCAATCCTACGGAGACAGCGATGATCGAACACGCAGAGTCACCGCACATCCTAAGCTCAGAGAGTACCTTCCGGTTACAAAATAAACTCGTGGACCATTACACCCACAGGATCGACTCGCTAGTGACTGAATACAGGACTACTGGGGTCCACCGGAAGAGAGTGAGGACAAATACTCACTGATGACATTGGTTGGTGGTTGTGCTAAAATCACGAATCGGAAGAAGTTAGAAGGCATGGGTCACTGAATCGGGTCCTAGTGGTTGAATGGTCTACGAGCTTACCTTGTAACCGGAAGGTCCGGGTCCAGGGGGTTCGAAACCCGATGGATGAGTGCTGCCGATGAGTCCCAAAATAGGAGGATGAAACAGCTGTCCAGTACTCATTGGTCAAACTTAAAATTAAAATTATTATTATTGTTGTTCCCTTGGGTTCCTAGTGGAACATAGGGCTTCAACTGCACGTCTCCACTTGCTTCTGTCTTCTGCTGTACTTTTCACTTGCATCCATGTTAGTCCATACTGTTTCAATTCCTCTTCACACGATCTCCTTCATGTCACCCTTGGACGTCCCACTCGCCGCTTCCCTTTCGGGTTCCACTCGAGCGATGGCCTGACGCGATGTCACCCAGCGAATGGCCTCCTCAGCGAGTGTCCAATCCATATCCACTTTCTCCTGCATATTTGTTGAGCTATTGGTTCTTGTTTTGTTTGTTCCCATAGTTTCTTGTTGGTGATTCTTTCCGGCCGGTCATCTGATCTTCAGTATAGAGCGAAGACAGTGTTTGATAAAGGTCTGCAACAGGCTGTTGGAAATATTCTTTGTGCTCCGCCAAGTTTCTGATCCGTATAGAAGAAGTGACTTGACGTTTGTATTGAAAATCCGAATTTTGTTGTTGATGCAGGCTGAGTGACGAAGATTTCCAGATTGGTTTCAGGTTGATGAATGTGTTTCCCGCCTTCTCGACTCTCGATTTGACATCCTCGTCCGTTCCATTTGCCTGTAGTTGAGACAATGCTCTATAGATGAGTGAATGAAGTAACCTCTTTCAAATCCCTCCCGTCGATGGTGATTGGCGGTGGATGTTGCTGCTGTTGTGGTTGTTGCTGGTTGGTTATTTTCATAACCTCCGTCTTGTCTATGTTCACCTGAAGTCCTGTCTTTGCTGCTTCTTCGACCAGTTTGTCGGTTTTCGCTTGTAAGTTTTCGATTTTGTGTGATATCAAACATAAATTATCCGCGAAATCCATGTCTTCTAGACTTGTTAAGAGAAACCAACTAATTAAAGCATAGATACTAAGAGATATGCAACACAAAATGACATAACAATTATGTATGAACAAAAGAAAAGGAGAAAAGTGATCAAGCTGAACTGATCTCAAATAATTGACCTAATAAGATAAACATTCAAGGATAGTTTCATTAATGTAATTCTTCGACAGTAGGAGAAGAAAGGAAATTACAGCATGATGGCCACGAGTTTAATAATCTTTAATAAATTTGACAAACCATCGAGTTACATAGTTGAACTCATTCAATGAAATAAAATGCACTGACAGATGTTCACTAAATTATCCCTCATCCCACAGGGCAATACTCGTTTTTCAGACACTTCAAGGACTAGCGAATAGGGAAGAGTGTAACATTGATAAACCGAATCTAAGTCATAAACGTCACTGTTCAAGGACAGAAAAACTTCATCAATGATGGTCTACAGTTTGTTTACTCAGATTCTCCCTGTCAAACTTTAGAATTATTTACACATGACTAAGATAATGATAGTCAAAACTACAAAGCCGCTAAACATCTTCAACTGAGAAGGAATAGGTTTCACATAGGCAGAGCTGAAATTCACGCACTCAAGTTTGTTGTGCACCCCAACTTTGACTGATATCACACAAAGGTATCAGAGGTGGTTCAAACCGGTCGATCCTGCTGTAGCTTCCAACAAACTGTTAGAAGCCTAGTATACGATACTTGAATAAGCAACAGCTACACATACGCACCGGTGGCATAGTGGTTAGGATGCTTGCCGACCACACCTCATGTGGTCCGGGGTTCGATCCCCGGCCAATGCACTCCTTTACCTCGCTAAGCCAGAAATAAAGCTGGTAAAGAGGGAAGGTTGGGCATGAGGCTAGCAACCTCATCTTGTAAAAATAAACACTGCTAAAGAAACTTCAAGCATCTAGCTTGAAGCTCTATGTTCCACTGGGAACGTGAAGGAATAAAAAAACACATAAGCACGCACACACATGAATTCCTAAACTACTTTAACTCCAGCTAGTTTTCAAGACGGCTTGAGATTTGAGTGCTGCGCGATAAGCACACAGCACTTACAGATATTGGTTGCTGACTGATTACATATGATTTGAGTAGCTTATTTGTTACACAATAATAAGGTGATAAAATCTGAGTATTTAAAAGATAAAATGTTAAGGAAGCAACCTTGATCAATTCGATAATCAATGAACGTTAGGATATCTTCCTCAAACGGAACACATATATTTATTAGTCTTACTATAAAGTGACACCACAACCAGTGACCCATAATCACTGAAGCATAAGAAATGAGTTTATGTCAAAAACCATATAGTATTGATTTATTTGACTGCCTAATCCTGAATTTATTTCATTTGTATTTTAATCAATATTAAAAATAACAATATTTCAATTCAAAAATATGAAAGTGTAGTCATTTCAAATTGTATTCATATAGAGATATCAAATAATAATTTATAATATAATCCAACGGCAAATATACCCTTTCAGACATAAAACAATCCGACTGACGTGATTGAAGAAAATGTACAAAAGGAATTAATATGTCTGTTCCACTATTATATGCATCGATAGATAGATATGTATACATACTATTACCAATTCAAAAGTCAATTACACTAATTATTCTATAACTAAATAAAGTATTCAGAAAGTTTTTTTTGGTTGGAGGATTTCATCATGAGCTGAAATCAGTCAGAAAACCATTGGAAAAGCGTGACCAGTAGGGTACAGCACGTTGAAGGTGAGGCAGTAACTCATCAAAGAAGACATTGCGAAGTGGCCGCGCTATGTCATGAATTGGCAGATGATAGAATTCATGGGCTGCCCATTATATCGGGTTCCAATGGCTTAATGGTCTACGAGCCACCTCGCCCTGCAACCAGAAGGTCCTGAGTTCGAACCCCGCATCGTCCGTGCGTACTGATGAGGAGTTCCAAACAAGGACGAAGCAGATGTCCAGTACTCCCAGCTGGTTCTCCAATGGTCCTCTAATCGATTTCGGCTCATGGTGCAATCCTCCAACCAATCGAACAAAACCGCTACAAAAACCAATATTTGAAAAACAATGTTTTTTCACAAAATCTAAAAGTGTAAACAACTTTTCAAATAGGCTAACAAACATAGCAAAAAAAATATAAACACTCAAAACAACACAGATTCACATACTCCTAATGGTGAATAAACGTTATATGTTAATCAGCATGAAATACTCAATAAATTTCGGATAGAATAATTATTTCAACTGATTAAAAATGCACATTAAAACCTTTTTCAAAAGAATAGTTACTGAAAAAGAATATTCTTTTCGATAACCTCTCCTTCATCAGGTCCTACAGTTATATATATACATAATAGTGTGCGTCGGTGGCGCAGCGGTGGAATGCTCGCCAACCACGCCTCATGTGGTCCGGGGTTCGATCCCCTGCCGACGCACTCCTTTACCTCGCTAAGCCAGTAATAAAACTGGTAAAGAGGAAAGGTTACGCATGAGGCTAGCAACCCCATCCCAGTAAAAATAAACAACACTGCTACAGAAAATCCAAGCCTCTAGCTTGAAGCCCTATGTTCTACTGGGAACGTACAGAAATAAATAAAGTGAATGAATTAGTGTGACTAACAACACGACCGGTGGTGATTCCGCAATCGAAAGATGAAGTACCTAGACTAACCACTTGTAATTGTATCGACCAATTCAACTGCGCTTGTGATAGAGCGAGTTATATTGGCCGTTGCTCTAGGAAATTGATTTTTCGTGTTCGCTTGAGAACATATACCAGTGTGGCTAAATAAAGGTGTAGCAGAAACCATCAACAGTTCGATAGTAGACCATCTGGTACAAACCAGCCACAAAGCCAGCCAGCATTGAAGAATCCTTATCATCTACCGGGTGCCAAATAAATTACCAAAAGCATCGAAGCACCGCATGCTTCAAACAGCAAAGGTTATCGCAATTGGCGTGAAACAACCAGTCTTTTGTGTGCAAAAGAATCAAGTTCAGCCAGCCACTACTACTGCCCTGGCCTTCAGTAGAGACGATAAATTCATGCATTTGTAACATTATCTTCCCTAATTTTTCTGATATTCAGTTAATCGTTATGTTGATGCTATCAAACTGTAATCCATTGATGTTATTATTATTATTGATTCTATGTTATTTAAACAACATTAATGTTGTTAATAACACTAATTCATTCACTATTATGTATACATAACTGTAGAACCTGATGAAGGAGTTATCGAAAAGAATATTCTTTGTTCAGTAACCATTCTTTTGAATAATTATTTCATTTCTCTTCGCGTCTCGAGTGTGGAATACATGGCTTCAAGGTTGAACTTCGAAGTTTCATTAACGGTGATTTTATTTTTACGGGGTGAGATTGCTACCCGCTCCCTCTACCGAACTTAAATACTGTCCAAGCGAGGTTCAGGAATGAGTCGATCGGGAATCCACCCCGGACCACGTGCTTAGTTGGTGAACATTCTATCACGGAATCACCGACGCACACATAATGCATAGAAAGATGTAGTCCACTGGCTTCAGAACTCAACGTTCAACTAGGCTAAGAACAGGTCCTGTGGCGTTCGAATCCACAACCACCTACTTCAATCTGGGCAATAATGCATTAAACGTGGCTCATGGCTTGACGCATGAAAAGTCTGTTTTAGGTAAATCATCTGTGACTGGAAAAAAAGTGGAAAATAAACAATAACAACAATAATATCATCAACTAACCGTATTGCAGTCATATGCAAAAGAAATGATTCTGTTAGTCTTAACATTTCACGACTTTCAGATGAAGCAGGATCAATGACTAAAATGACATTGTACAGATTTTTACGTATCCGACGTATACCACCGGAAAAATCAAGCGTGAATAATGTATGAAGTGATGATGGCCAATAAGCATAAGCTGAATCAGATTCTAAATTATTAATATACGAGATTGGTGAATTGGATAAATCCAGAACAAATTGACCGGATAGACTATGTCTTAAACCTGGTATATTTCCATCAGTAGATTTTGACGAAGATTCACTCGAAGAACCATAGTCAATGATTAACTGTGAGATATTTGGTCCCTGTGGGGGTAAATCATTCAAAAAAAAAAACAAGTCAAAGTGAATTGTACAGAGATACACATTTGTTAACAAGTTGCCCATTATATAACAGGGAATTAAAGTCTCGAGAAGTGAAACAACTGTAAGTGCAAATGTTTGGCTACCACTATTAATGGGAATAAAGAAACCATGTTGGGATTATGACTGAATTGAAAAGAAAACAAGATTAGTAGTATAACGGGAACTGATAGTTAACGAACAGCACAACACACATCTTTACCTTTTTCAGAAATGACAGATGACTGCATGCTAACTAGATTTGAACATAATTAGTTATGTTTTTCTCACTTTTAGTAAACATTTTAGTGATTAATAATAGCTTTATTATGAACAATGTTTATATAATGTAAAGAATTTACAGCAGAGTTTATATTGCATGATATTTTCTTTCCGTCCAGGATCTTCAGAGAAAACATTAATTGGTTGGAGGGTTTCATCATGAGCTGACATCACTTAGAGAACCATTGGAAAACCACCTGGGAGTAATGTACAACTGTTTCGTCAGCCTAGTTTGGCACTCTTCATCAGTGCGCACCCACAATACGGGGTTCAAATCCAGGACCTTCTGGTTACAAGGCTAACGAGCTCGTAGACCATTAAGCCACTGGCACCTGATCCAATGGTCAGCTCATGAATTCTAAATTCTACCAATTCATGACGTAGCGTAACCACTTCACAGTTTCTTCTTCAACCTTCTGTACCCTACTGGTCACGACTTCCCACTAGAACCCCAGGTAATCGCCTGAATAGGGCCAGTCGCTAGTGAGCATCAGGGTGCGTACCATTGAAGAATCCCAAACTAGGACGGAGGAAACAGCTGTCCAGCTTTCCCAGGTGGTTTTCCAATGGTTCTCTAACTGATGTCAGCTCATAATGAAACCCTCCAACCAACATAACACAGAAGAAACAACTGAATGAGAGAAATATAAGCTAATCGAGCATTATGAACACAGCCCTAGCAGTTTATACATATTTGTAATGTCTACGGAGCAAACGTTTTAAACAGGAAGTCAGAAGCATATAAATGATTTGCAGAGTGGCAGAAATGCCCAATGCATGGGAAGCGAAAAAAGATGACCACAAAAATTCGATTCTTACATGATAAATTTCGCAAAATTAAATATCCAAGCATGCCCATATGTCAAGATTAGAATACTGTCTTGTCAAAGGCTACTTAGAATATTATAATGAGTCCTGTGCATATATATATATATATATATATATATATATAATCTCCGAATACGTAAGAATTCGCCTAGCTGAAATTTCTCCCACTATTATATATGCTAGCTAGCCAACATATACAGAGTAATCTTTCAAAATAGCCTAAATCCCATAATCCTTGCAATTGTTTCCTCAGAATAAGGAATGACGGCCATTCACTATCTGTTTACTGACTATTTCAGCCCAAACATGTTATTTGTCTTATACAAGAATAAGGAATCGATAGAGACTACTTTTGACTATCAACATGTATGACATCAATGTTATCATTCCGGTTATACAAACCAGTAACCTGGACTGATATTAAGGTGAACTGACTGCAATGGAGAGATTGTTGGGAAAATCCCTCTTCAAGGATCCAATTACAATATTTATGCTCATTCGGTTGGTTCAACTGCTCTTGTGGAGCCAGTTAGTTGCAAAGGCCGTACAATTAGGCGTCTTTCTCGTCGAATTTCCAAACATCACCCTGCATAGTGGTTAAGTAAAGGACAAGCAAAATCTAATCATAGAGCTATTCTATCTCATCTTGTGGATTGATGTCGACGAGGCTTTCAGAGTCATTTACCGCATACCACCAAATCTCGATTTCGCCTTAAGATTCCGACTACTAAATATTGCTGAGGCTGGCTGTTGGGATCCATATTAACAAGCCTAATTTGTGCGTCCAAAAGAAGTTAGTTCAGACATTATCCTTAACTTGGCCATCTCGGTTCGAATGATCCTCATTTTTTTGTAGAAATTTCCTTAATTTTATTTGATATTCTATTTGCTACTATATCTTTATTATTATTATAATTTAAGCATCTTTAATGAACTGCAACTCCATTGATCTTATTTAACGAATCGATGTTATTTAAAAAACACTAATATTGTTATTGACTACTATTCTACAATATTCTATGGATATAAACATGCGGTGAGAGCTGGCTGCTAGCCAAAGTTGGTAGACAGTAATTGATGTCAATGTTTATGTCCTTAATATTGATGGTGAGAAAATGAGAACAAAGGCTTTGCGTAGGCGGATACAGTTAGCATACGGATGATCTGACACAGCCACAAAGAGATGCAAGGTTAACTTTCTGTTAGAAACAACCAATCAAAAGACTGTATTTTCGACTAACAATAATCTACAATAATGTACATTAAAATCTATAAATATGTGTTGATTTTCCTTAAAATAAACGATCTACTGCCTGGCCCTTGTCTTCTGTTGTTACAAACATATGCATATAATTGTAGAGCCAGAAGAGGAAATTATCGAAAAGGATATTCTTTGCTCAATTATTTTGTGTTTTGTAATTATTATCCATTTTTTCCCATAAACTGCATATCATTCTTCTGACATTTGCATATCAAACGTTGACTTGATCCTTATCATCATTCGACTTTGTTCCTGTTTAGTCTATAATTTCAATGCTTCGCTTTATCGTTGTGCGTTAATATTGATATTGTGTTGTTTTATGATGCGTTTCTGTATGAGTGATTCTAACCATTGGACTGTTTTCGGGAGGCATTAATGTGTGACTATTCTTGTCGACAGAGACTTTGATCCCACCTTGTTGGAAATATTCTACCTGATTCTCAGGTACTTCTTACAGTTGAATTTTGGTTGACTAATTTTGTTCTACAGTACTTTGTCTTGCACTTAGAAACTTGCCTTGTCTGTACAGCTGCCAAACAGCACTAAAGAGGTAATTTTGAGTCTTTGATGTTACTATTGTTGTTGTTGAATAGAGTCACACGTTAGTTTTACTGTCTTTGGAGCCTTCTATGAATATATCCATGTTTCAAAAAGGTTTTGTCAGCTATAAAGTACGACGTAGAGATTTGTTTCCTGCGCTCATTTCACAAGGAGTTAGTTTCAGTCGTAACATAACAACAATACAGGGGCACTAAATAACAACGGTGGGGTTTGTTTGACTAAGTAAGTTAGTGAATAAAGAATCTATGCCATTAGGATATTACACATAAGAAGTAAATTATATAAAGTATATTACTAAATATTTTTAATACTTACTGGTATACCTAAAGCATGCAGTTGTGCCATCATTTTTGCTTCTTGACGTATTACATCCAATAAAGCGAATATATCAACAGATGGTGAAAGTAACATACCATTTAAGAGGAGTAGACTTTGACCAGGTTGTATACCTAGTGTTCCAGTTAAAAGATATTGATTTACACCTAATTCTTTACGAAGATCTGCACTAACATTTACATTCACAAGACGACTATAAATAAGAAAACAAGGGAGAAAATAAAGCCAACAAAATAGGATAATATAAGTTGTAACTGTGATAGGAAGAGTCATTTTAATGATGGAGTTAAAAAAAAACTTTTATCCTCATCCTGATTTCAAAACCTACAATAGGGAAGTTGAACATCTATTTACTATTCACTTCCGATTGCGCATCGTATAGAAGTGAATTAGCACATCACTAATGAAGTATATAATGTGTGCTCACACAAATTGTCTTATCCAAAGTCTTATTGTTTCTTTCACAATAAATCATCGAGATGAAAATGCATTCAATCAATCAACAACTTTTGAATGATTATTAACTTACTGGACTGTCAAGTGCTGAAGAATGTCTGTCTGTTTTCGACATAGAACTTTGCACAGATGTGCGGCAGTTCAAGTCGCCACACTCCATGTAGCACACAAAGCAAGAGAAGAAAGTAGAAGAAATGCATATTAGAGACAGTAAACAGAGGTGTGAGACAAAGGAATAGTAATAAAGAAGAACAAAACAGCTTCATTGGAAATCATGAGTCACAAGGAATGGATGCCTCTTCGCTAGCCATTGAGAACGATTTTGAGCCATGTCACCAATTGTTTCCAACCATTGGTTTTTACCATCCCGAGGAACCCAACCAGTGAGGAAGTCTGCACCTTCCTACGTGGCTTAGACTAACTGTTGTAGATTTCATTGACTGGTGCAATGTTTTCGTTTGACCGCCGCTAGCTCTTTTCCAGCCTGGCCCTATATCAGCTAACATTGCCCATTGTCGACGAAGGCGATGACTAGGCATACGTAGCACATGTCCTAACCATCTCAGTCGATGTAATTTCACAGCCTCGTCGATTGATTTCCCCTCCCACCTACCTAGCACTCGACGCCTAACCTCAATATTGCTCACCTTATTATACCACTTCACACGGGAGATAGAACGCAGACACCTATGATCGAAGACAGCTAATCTTTTCATGTCTTCCACTCTCAATAGCCAGGTCTCACAGCCATAAAGGAGGACGGAGCGGACTACTGAGCAGTACACACGCCCTTTGGTCGATAGTCGGATATCACGTCTACGCTAGAGACGGCGTAAACTGGCATACACGAAACTAGCCCTCTGTATTCGTGCTGAGATTTCGTCAGAGATCAACCCGTTGGGGCTGATGGGACTTCCCAAGTAAGTGAAGCGGTCAATGTGCTCTACTACTTCACTTCCTATTTCTAATCTAGGAGTGGGTGTAGTCCAATCCTGTAACATCATCTTGCATTTGGTGGGAGCGAATATGGACCGATTCTAAATAACTTCGATTTTTACTAACCAAAGTAACAGTTATTGAATACTATTTACTTAGAAATCCATTTCTTATTATCCTAACCATAATTGTAGGCACAACAATTCTAGTCTAGAAAACAAAGTCTCCTTTGATGCAGCCACCTTGTTCACAATGATTCCAATCAATGAAACTATTGAGATCATTTGTCAGTAGTCTGATCTTCTCCCACTTCCAGAGTCGGAATTCAAACGCCTACTCCTTATGTGTACAATGGATGTGCGATTCCAATTAGACAACACTCTTTACCGCCAAATAGATGGTGCAGCTATGCGCAATCCACTTAGCCCTGCTTTACCAGATATATTCATGTCCAATCTTGAAAGAACAAAGATCAAGCATGCAATCGACGAAACAACTTCTTACTGTTGATATGTCGATGACACATTTATAGTGTGTAACAATGAAAGTCATGCTTCACACTTACTCAGATTATTCAATGAGTTTACTAGGTAACATGAAAGTGACGGAAAGTTCCACTTCCTCAACATTGCCATGCAACGCCTAGAAGATGGTAGTCTTCAGAAGTCGATTTACCGAAAGCCTACTTGGAAAGGACAATACCTACATTTTAATAGTTTTAGTCCAAATAGCTTTGAACGTGGACTAGTCAAGACTCTATGCTATAGAGCTAGGAAATTATGCTCTACAGAGAAATTAGAGGAAGAATTTACGTTTCTCGAAAAGATGTTGAAAAGCAATGGTTACCTTCAAAGATTCATTAACAACTACGGAAGATCTGAAGTCTCAAATGTCAAACAAAAGCCAATCTGCATTCAACTTGATTATAAAGGTGAAAACATTGCAGTAATGGTCAACAGAAGACTGAGTACTTCACTAGCCAGAGCCTATCCTGCAGTTAAGCTTGTCCCCGTCTATCGAACTTGCTTTTTGATGCAATCAAAAATCGATAGATATCCTTCTCATGTTAACTCCAACTGTAAAAACAAATTTACTTGTATCTGCGGAAGCAGTTACATCGGAAGAACAGAAAGAAAGACATATCTACGATTTTCTGAACATGTACCCAAAAACCTATGTCTAAAGGGAACAAATGCTTTAAACAGTGCCATCGCCAGGCATCTCCTTGACACGAGTCATGAGGTGGACGTCGCAAGACCGTTCAAAATTATCAACTGGCAAAAGATTTCAATTCTCCTTAAGTTTGCTGAAGCCATCTCCATCAAGCGCCTGAAATCTGATTTATGCGTTCAGAAAGAAGCAGTTATCAGTCTTTCTTTGCCCTGGTAACTGGATATTTTCACCTCTCTTTCATCTGATTACGTAAAGTCGAAAGTTTCCATTGTGTATGATTATTATTGTTTGGAATAGTGTTTAATATTATATATATATATATATATAGTTACTTTATGCATATATTGATCGATTGATTTTTGTTTAAAATGAACTCTGTGCAAGTATGTTAAAATTGTTTCCGTAGATATATTTAATAATGACTTTGGCATGTAAGCAGCTGATGAGAAGCCGACAAAATAAATGATGGTACCATTTTATTCTGCAAAAACTGTTGTTCTTGCTTTATTCAAATTCATTAAGGGGAATAAATGTATGAAAACAAAGTAATACTTCCATAACGGCTTCAAATTTTGTGGGTTCTAAATGGTATGGCATTGATCACGGGGAAGGGGGAGGGGGCACCAGTCTAAAGCCTTGCCTGCTTCATAATAACCTAGACAGGACTCTATGTGGAGGTTAAAGACCCTACCTAGTTGACGACGCGGCCCTTAAGATATTGGATTCCGGATTGGAGTGGCGTTCCACTTAATTCAGAATGGGCAGCTAAGTAGTAACATCAGCCCACATAGACCGGATGTCGCTCACAGCTTGGTGCATGGAAAATCTTTTCAGAGTAACTAAGCTGTAACTAACTAAAAGTCGACCACCTAAGCCAAGCAGATACAACTCTACACTTTTATAATAGTAAACATGTCTCAGTGATACTGTGGCAAGCGCTACTGATAAGATTTATCAGTAGTATATAAACAAACGTTCATCGGCATAAAACACATCAAATAGCACGAAGATACGTTTGATATCAGAGAAAGTAAATGATACAGCGTTGTGGAGATGCATGGGAAAACGACGTGAAAGGAACACAAAGGAACACAACACGAAGTCCAGATGTACCACAACACGAAGACCTGTGCAAATGGTGCGTTGAAGATAAGGTATATATAATTGGGCAATACAGAGATACCAACACTGACTGACTGTCCGTTTGACAGATAAGTGAGGAACTTAGCATAGAAGTGAATCAGTTAAGGTTGCCAGAAGTACACAAAATAAGACAACAAAAACAGAACAATGCTCTCCGTAGATAATTTTACAGCTTTATGATACGTCTTTGTCTGAGTTACTTCATTTTATGGAAGTCGATGATCATTTCAAACAGAAATCTACTTTGCGAATCTATAAAACTAACACCAGGCGTAAATACTGAATATCATCCGATTAAATTAAACAAGTAAACAGCTTAAATGAAAAGGGAAATGTATCACGGTTTAAGTTATCCACATTACTAAAAACAGCGCATAGGAGAAAGTAACTTACAAACTACTTTACTTCACTATTCACTGAATATGAGTTATTTGTGATTATTTTAATAAAGTTTTATTAACGCTTCATTCTTGTCAGCTTTCGCATCAAGAATAATAAACGTATCGTCAACATAACGAAAATAAGAATACATCACTTGTTTCAATGGACCATTTTCAAGCTTAATAAGAACGAAATCTGCCAAAATTGGACCCAATGGAGAACCCATGAAAATACCGTCGATTTGTTTGTAATAAAGGTTGTTGAATGTGAAGTTTACGTTCGTAGTACATCTTAAAAGTAGCTCTTTCAGGCTAATAATTGGAATTCCGATCTCCAACTGCTTTCCTTGTATCTGTGGGTATATGAATTCCACAGTCTTCATAAGTGATACATTGGTGAAGAGTGATGCGACATCTAAGGATATCATTTACTTCCCATTGTGTAACGCTTGGAGGAGTTCACCTAGTCACTCTGCCACTCCATGGTAGGTGGAATTAGACATGTCTAGGATTGGGCGAAGAGGAAGTCCTAGTTTACGTACTTTGAGCAAACCATAAAATAATGAATTATTACTTCCAGTAACTTTAAGAAGGTTGTAGACTGCCTCTGAGATTACTCCAATTTTTCTCAGCTCCTTAAGCGTGTTTGTTAGCTGCTTTTCAGCCTTTCCGTCTAGATCTGTTGGGTTGTTAAGCTTTTGGAATTTCGTTTCGTCAGTTAGAAGCGAATTCATTTTGTCAACGTAATCACATTTATTCATCAGTACTACTCCAGCTCCTTTATCAAGTCTACTGATTATAATGTTTTCGTTGTTCCTTAGCTTTCTTACGGCTTCGTGATGCTGTTTAGTCAGCAAGCTTTTACTAGAATGACTACTGTTTTTATACTGCTGACAACTGTCGACTAGTGTAGTTTTAAACCTAGAGACTTCATCATCTTACGATGGGATCAAGTCTTTTGTTTGTAGGAGTAGGTTTTCAAACTGGATATTGGTATCAAATTGGTTGACCTTATATATCCTTGATCACGAAATGTAAGACCTAATGATAATGCTTTTAACTGTAATTTATCTAGTGTAACACTTTAAAAATTATGGACATACCGATAAGGGTCTGAAGGGAAATCCCTTTCTTAATAAAGCACAAAAATATTTATCGTATAAATTTCCAAGATAAATGAAATAGGCAGGAAGTTTGAATAAAAAACATAGTGGTGCAGATAGGAACTAAAAAACGTAAAAAATAACTGAAATAAACAGGAATTTTGGATAAGAAAGGCAATTGGGATAAGAATTTGGATCCCGAAAACCGACTCCAAACCTTCAATATAGTGTTCACCCAAACATGGACTTCAATCTAGAAGTTTAATGTGATGCTACGTTCCACTTTCTCGAGGTTCAACTGCGAAGTAATGATGATAACTTGCTGTGGAGATCCATATACAAAAAGTCCACATGGAATGGACAGTTTATCAACTCTTAGAGCTGTGTTTCTCTAAGCAGAAAGAGAAACTTCATATACTCTCTTTCCTCGAGGATCTGCAAAATATGTCCCGAGGAATCTATTGACAAAGAAATTCAAAGTCTCCGAGGAACCTTAATGGAAAATGCTTTCCCATCCACATTTATAGAAAAGAATCTGAAACCAAAGAAAACCTCTGAACAGTTCTAAGCCGCCTCAACGCCAAAAGATGCTGATGCTTAATTTCAAATTTAAAAGGGATACCGAAGCAGAGCCTCTCCGTAGACATACTTTGCCGCCAGCTTATGCGTGACATTTTCTTGCAAGAAACTATTCAATCATCATGTGAAAGACAAACTGTCACACTGATCCAATTCAACATGCATATAGCAGTTTACTTGCCCCTGTGGAGATGAGTACATTGGCCATACCATGCGTCCACTCGTAAAACCCTCTTGGGAACACTATCCAACCTGGCTAGCAAAGGGAGAACGCAAGGATGTATATAGTTTGGCAACAGAACATCTGGTGAACTCCATTTGAAAATTCCTTCAAAGTCCTACACAAGATCCGATCAAACCTCTCAAAGACAATGAAATCAGGTCACCTGGCCATAGATGAGGCACTAGCGATCCAAAAGTTCAAGCCCAAACTCTAGGTATTCAAAAGAAATATGTCCAACCTGTGTCTCTACCATGGCTATCATAAACAGTTACTTCTGTTATTTTCACTTTTTTTTAAATTCTATTTGCACTACCATGCTTTTTTATCATAACTTCCTGCCTATTTTGTTATGACTATATTTTTAATCCCTACTTGTATAAAACGAAGTCAATTTTCACAATAAATAATTATAATCCTACTATAAATGAAATAATTAAAACACTCTTTCTGACAGTCTTATTATAACATATGAGAAATATAATACAACCCATATTTATTATGCAACTAATCCAGTGTTTGTTGCTTATCCACCCGTATAAAAGATTAGGCAATTTTTTTTCAACAACAAAAAATTAATTAATTAATTAAAAGTCTTTTTTAATTACCTTGCTCTTGCTGGTAAATTCTGACTAATATCACGTAAATTCCATAAACCGGAATTAATATACGATCCAATGAAAGCCTCGAGTTTTTCACCTGACGTGTATGCATTCATTACTGCTTGACTAGCCTGTAAACTTAAATCACGGCATTGCCAAGCTTTTAACGGACGTAATTCATTATCTGTTGAGAGTAGATGACTATGAAATTCATTGAGTTGATTTTTTAATTCAGGATAAATACTTTGTAATTGTGTGAAATTAAATCCGGCTACAACTGGTACATCAGCAATTTTACTGTTTTCCTTCACTGTCAGGTTATCCGGATCTAAAATGAGATAAAGGATAGGATAGATGATACTGATACGGGACAAAGAAATTGTTACACAGAAGAGTTATATAACATGCTTGAACAAGTAAAATTTGGGGGGAGGGATGGGGGAGTAGACCCTGAAACTGATTGACAAGACTGACTGACTGGTTTGAACAGAGAACTTTGCACAAGAGTGGAGCAGTTCAAATTGCCACACTCTATTTTTACCACACACTGCAAAACGAAAGGAAGAATTAAAAAAAAACACATTCAAAGGAACTCTGAGAAGCAGAAATGTGCGGGAGAAAGGAAGAATAGTGACATAGTAAAACAAGGGTGTTTAATGGGTATGGGAGATCACAAGGAGTGAATGCATCTAAGCCATTACCTCCAACCATTGGTTCTTAGCATTCCAAAAACCCCAACCAGCCTAGCAGTCTTTACCTCCTTATGTGGCTGGCTTAAACTAACTGTTGTGGATTTCATTGACTGATGAAAAATCTTGGTTTGACTACCACCGACTTTTTAACACCTAACATTGACCGTCGAGGAAGGCCATCTAATGCTAGGCGTACGTAACACGTGCTCTAGCCATATTAATCGATGTAGCTTCACAACGCCATCGATTGACTTTCCCTCCTTAACTAATATTGAGTGCCTAACCTCAAGATTACTTACCCTATTATTTCGACAAGAACAGTAACAACACAAATTTATGCATGAACTGAAGTGACCTACATTTATCTACAGTACAAATAACATCTTTGAGGTTACTTAATAATGAAATATAATCATATATATATAACAATAACAATTAGAAACTACCACGTAAGTAACTGTTAGTTTAACTGTTACACACGACACTCATTTATATCAAGTGTTGCTTTGCAGGGATTTGATTGGCTACAGGATTGACCACGACTTGACATCATTTAGAGAACCACTGGAAAACCTGGAAGTACTAAGCAGCTGTTTCTTCCTGGTTTGAGACTCTTCATCAGTACGCACCCATAGGCATCAGATAGGGCCCCAGCGGCTGAACGGTCTACGAGCTCGCCTTATAGGCTCTAGGTTCGAACCCCATTGGCTGTAAACTGGTGAAGAGTCCCAAACCAAGAACAAACAGCTGTTCAGTACTCCTAGATTTTCCAATGGTTCTCTAACTGACGTCAACTGCTGATCAATCTTGTACTGATTTATATGTTTGAACTATATTCTAAGTCTATTTGAGCAAATATTTTCACTAGCCTGTAATTAGGTGCTCCTTTTTCGTAGAACACGCTAACCTGAAAGTGGTTTAGTTGATAGTAGCATGGAAATACTAACACTTTGTTTTCGAATGGATTTATCCGTTCTGATATCCACTAACTAAACAGCATAGTTTAATGTTGACCGGTCGTCGTTTCACCAATATTTCCTGAACACTAGTTAATTGAACTTAGTCAATTAGTGTGATTATCAATTCTCATCAGATCTATCCAATACAAAACAAGTACACAAGCATTCATATTAAAGAAAATTTTGGTGTAATCTTCTCTTCCTAACCATTAATTAATGAAACAGTAATCTTCTCAATTTTCTATAAACAGCTAACAAATATCTCCAACTTAATTTTATCCTGTGTAAAACGTTCATGTCAAATTTTAAACGTTCCATCGTGAGATATCTAGTTAGCTAGCTAGTTGAAGCAGGAATAGACTGAAAAAATAGATGAAGATGAGCAAACCCAAAAGTTAAACATCAATCTAAGGAGCACCTCTGACTGTAGGTACTGAGCTATACAGACAAGTATACAATACCTGACTTAAGAAATTTATGGTTGAAGAATTTCTTTTTTCAAATTTTATTCCTTTGAGTTCCCAGTGGAACATAGGGCTTCAAGCTACAGCTTTGAAGTTTCAGTAGAGGTGATGTTTTTTACGGGGTAGGGTTGCTAGCCTCACGCCCAACCTCCCCTCTTTCTCAGGATTATAACCGGCTAAGGAATATAAAGGAGTGCACCGGTCAGGACTCGAACCCCGGATCACGTACATGGTCAGCGAGCACTCTATCACTGAACCACCGAACTTCATAAAAATGCATAAATCTAAATCAATGACAATAGTGCAGATGTATCCTCCACAACGCCCTCACAAACGACATGGTACAACGGACGGTGAATAAACTTCGATCTTCCTATCAAAATGCTTTCATATGGTTAAGGGTTCCAAACCTTTGCCAGAGAATTCCAATTCACTGGCCTTCACGAGGCTGAAATGTTCCTTACAAAAGTAAAAGAGAGAATGCGAACCTCTGACTCTTACAACCGGATTGGCGAACATGCCGGTCTACCTAGTATACATGGGCTCTTGAAAACGAACGAATCGAATGGAGTATGAATCTATTTTGATCACTGGCAACCATAGGAACTTAGCTTCTCACACTACTCCACTGTCTTGTGGATTACATTTCAAGTCAAAGGTTCGGGATTGGCCCCTTAAAACAACCACCTGCTTCGATCTGAGACACTGGGTACTAATCCAATCCTCACACAAACTATTATATTTTTATGGTGCAACTTTAGGTGCCCATAAATGTACCAATTTTTCACAACACACTGATGTCGAAAATGACTGAAATACAACTAATTAACGCCCCTTGTGTTAAATTAGGCAAGTTTATATAAAAGCATTAGAAATCATAAAAATTGACTGATAAAATTCAGTCTGCATCAAACAAAGGAATAGACGCATGATACTAGTTATTAACTAGTGTCCAATCAAAGTATCCATTACAGTCCTACAGGAGGTCAACCGCCAGCCCAATAACTCAGTGATAACGTCTCTGACTACAGCACACTGCGTGACACGGGTTCAAATCCCAGTAGGGACCTTAGTCCCTACAAGATTTCAAGTATGTCTTGCTGACTGAATGGTGAGTGTCAGCAAGCACAAAACCCAGGTGCAGGGCTTCCTGTCGACTATCACCAACCATCATCTAATAACAACAATTCAGAGTGCAACATGATGTCAAGCCACTTAGCACAGATGCTGGACACATAGCAAACTTGACTGATACAATTCATGAAAACAAAACACGTAGTTCAGCGAAGAGTCTCTCTTCGGCGGTGAATTCATTTTCCTAGCCGTACATTCTCAAATATATATATATATGAGTTATTTTGTATGCATATGTACATTAAGTTTGTCAAAGAAATATGCAATTGGTTATGGTTAACACTGATCATTCTAACTCAACAAACGCCTCCTGCTTCAAAGTAATCTACAGAGTCAAGAATAACCTACCAAAGGCAACATGGTTTCGTCTTCTTTGTATCGCTGAAGCTCTGGCCATTCACATAGAAAAACCGGAGCTGTGCATACAAAAGAGAATTACTCAACCACTTCTATTATCATGGTAACAACTTTGTTGATTTTTGATGACTTAATTTTGTTTGTTTGCCTGTTTCTTTAATTGCTTATAATTCTTGTCTTCATTTAGAACTCTTGCGTTATTCGGAATTCTCTACTTTGTTCCTATGTGTATCCTGAGTACAACTGAATCATCAAACTATTCATATTATTACGTAACTCCTGTTTAACAACTGTTTGTGACAACTCATCACCTACCTTTGTTACTACAATAGTTTCATTAACACCCAATTTTCTTGACCGTTTTTGTATTAAGTAACTCCATCTAAAACTTACTAATTCTCACTTGTTTAGTTAAAATAACCATAACCGATCGTATTTTTGATTGGTTGAAGGATTTCATCATGAGCTGACATCAGTTAGAGAACCATTGGAAAACCAACAAAGAGTACTGGACAGCTGTTTCTCCAGCCTAGTTTGGGACTCTTCATCAGTACGCACCCACCCCAACTGGGTTCGAACCCACGACCTTCTGGTTACAAGACTAGCGAGCTCGTAGACAATTAAGCCACTGGGACCTGATCCAATGACCAACCCATGAATTGTAATTTCTCCCAATTCATGACATAGCCCGACCACTTCGCAATGTCTTCTTCGATGAGTTACTGCCTCACCTTCAACCTGCTGCACCCTACTGGTCACGGCTTCCCACTAGAACCCCAGGTAACTACCTACGTGAATAGGACCAGTCACTAGTGAGTATCAGATCAATGTTCAAGTATTGGTTTTGTAGGGATTTTGTTTGACTGGTTGGAGGATTTCATCATGAGCTGACACCAGGTTTTCCAATCGTTCTGTAACTGATGTCAGCTCATATTTGCGATTGTACAGCTAAGAAAATGAATTCGCCGCCGAAAAGAGACTCTTCGCTGAACTACCTGCTTTTTTGCTTTCATTCATGCCTGGAGGAGGATTATTCATGATACAATTCAGTCTGCACCGAAAGAAAAAAAGGGGACTAGACGCATGATACTAGTTACAAGTTAGTTACCAATCATCAAATCCTACTCACCTTCAGTTTTTGTATCATCCATCGCTTTGTATTCAGTACTTTTCAATGCAAGTTCAACACCATAACCATTTAAACTTGTTCTATTCGAATCTCGATTCTTCAAACAAACAAACAAAAATAAACCAAAGCCAAGAAAATGCGATATAAAATCATAATAAAATTTAGATTAATTAAACACACAAATGTTTGTCACATTGACTAGAATCTGATGTAAAAACGAGTACAAACTTTAATTCAGCCAGCAATTCATTGAAGATGTCTATTAAAAATTTAAGAGACTGATTAATAAACAAAGAATATTTTTTCTGTCGATAATCTCTTCTTCATCAGGTTCTACATTTATATGACAGTAATAAATTAAAGAAATATATTGTAATTAACAACAAGCTGACAAAATCGATGCAAAGAACGTTTAATACAGGTAAGCTGAAGCTTATAATTTTCAACACAACTAGGCTAGCCAACACTTATTGTTTCTATCAATCTATCGACTGCTCCTGTGGAGCCTGGTTATATTGGCCGTCGCTCAAGGAATCTAATTTGTCGTGCTCTGGAACACCAACCAGTGTGGTTAAATAAAGGTATTGTCAAAACCATTAACAGTTCTGTATTGCATCACCTCCACAAAGCTAGCAGCATTGACAAAGAGTCTTTCTCTATCATCTACCAGGCATCAAATAAATTACCAAAGGCCTCTAGATATCGAACACTTTAGTAAGAACAGGTCATTGCAATTCACTTAAATCAAAAGGAGCTCTGTGTGCAAAAGAAGCAGGTCCAGCCAGTCACTATTGCTACCTTGTCCTGCTCTCGAACCTATAAATTCATAAATTCTGTGTTATTGCCCTTAATTCATCTGATATTCAACCAGTTTAGTGTTATATTGATGCATCTTATCTCTCTCTTTCAGATGCTTTTGAACAGTAATCTGTCACTGTCATTGATTCAGTGTAATTTAAAACAGCATTATTGTTGTTAATAACAATATTTCTTTAATCAATACTGTCATATGAATGGAGAACCTGATGAAGAGGGGATTATCGACAAGAATATTTTTTGTTCATTAATCTCAAGAAGAATTATATTTTCTCTATGAGCCATTTGAAAATATTTAAATACTCAGGTATTTGATTCCTAAATATTTTACTGACTTCAGGGGTAGATTTCGATATGAACAATCATCAGTACGATTACCAATTAACATCAAGGCTCAATACACAGAAGACCTAGACTAATTTTTGGAATCATGAACAGTATGAACTAACGACTGTCAAACTCTAACACGAGCACGCCGCCGCCATCCCACTCCAAGGTCGAAATTCAGTGGTGCGTCAATGGTTCAGCGGTAGAATGCTCGCCAACTACTACTACACACATGTGGTCCGGTGTTCGTTCCCCGGCCAACGCACTCCTAAACTTTGCTTAGCCGGTAAATAACCTCGACAAAGAGGGAAAGTTGAGAGTGGGGCTAGCGATACCCCATCCTGTAAAAGAAAATAACACCAATGCTACTGAAACTTCAAAACTCTAGCTTGAAGCCCTATGTTCCACTCGGGACGCAAGAGAACAAAACAAATAATAAAAACTGGGAATTTAGTGAAAGATTATTTACAACTTGATTTGCAATGCAGCGTCCGCACCGATTTAAAACCATCGATGAGGTTACTCACCAATCATGAGTCTTCATTAAATTTTCAGTAATTCATCTTAGGCAAGTCAAGAATGACCGGTGAATGCAATACTCAAGCTTTCAGCTTCTTAATACTTCTTGATATTCAACAGCTTTTTAACTACCTTCAAATGAGAAGGTGAAATCTACTTTAGACAGCGAAATACTCATCGTCCCTGAGCCTAGAAGTAGTCTTGTAAGTCATATATATATTATTCAAATCCTTTAAAGACAATAATTTCACCGTAATTCTATTCATCATTTCTCCTTTTCATTCATCAGTTCTCACTACACGAACTAAGCAAAAGAACAGTTCGAAAATAGAACTAGAGTGGTATATTTACTTTGCAAAATTATTAGCCAATTTTATTAACATACACCTGGCCATTAAGTAGTAATGCCAATATTTTGGCTCGTAAGTATCACTCCCAAGCTCACTGGAACTCAAATCGCCATATTTCAACTCCATAAACTATTTTCCGCTATTATAATATAAAGGCTTTTTTGTATTTCCCAATGAATGAAAAACAAAACGATATCGTTGCTTTTACTGACGTTTCGCTATTTAATGCTAATAGCTCTATCTAATTGTGTCTATAAAATAAAATGCTTGCAATGTGATGCGATATACATCGGACAAACATCGCGAGAAATCAAAATCAGAAGAAATGAACACCGTAAACCCGACTCTGTTCGACCACCGAGAAATCCAGTTAGTGACTAGAAAAGCTTGAAAAATCATCACCCATAGGTCGTCTACACACTACGCTATAGAATCAGGTCACAAAATTGATTTTGACAATATTGAAATAATCCAGAAAAAGCATTTCAGAAATCACAAACAACGTCTAATATCATCAGAAGCACTTCATATCAAATGGAATCAAAATTTTCTGAATAGGAATGATGGACTAGAACAGAATTTGATCTGATAACAACACTCCCCTTTCCCCCATGAAATGACAAAATCAACGCGAATGTGATAAGCAATTTCACTATGTAAACACACGCTTCTTTTGTATAATTCTACACACTTATCAAATCCAACAATCTACACTTGGTTTTATTATCTTTACCAATTGGCCAATTTGACAAGACAAAAATCACCCCATGCTGAGGAACGATGATTAAGTTGTTATATATAAGCTGAGATTTTGTAAATTCTGGTTTAATAATACTTTGATAAAGCTATTACAGCATTAAATAGCGAAACGTCAGTAAAAACAACAATATCGTTTTGTTTTTCATTCATTGGGAAATACAAAAAACCTTTATTATAATGAATATCATATACACAATGCCCAAATTTTTTCAAACTGTTAAATGTGAAATTGGTTTGGACAAACAACATTTTCCGCTATATCAGCTTGGAATTGACATGCAACACTTACACATCAGACAGATGCTTAATAATGTTGAGATAATGCGCAACAGTCTTATTTCCTGTTGAAAGATGATTTCGAGAACAAAGCAGGTAAACTAACTATACTTAGGTCAATTGTTTGTTTAGAAGTTAGAACTATATGCAAAAGCTATTCACATGCTTGTAAATGAACACTAAATCAATACACCTCACCTTTCACAAGTTGAAAATTTCAAAGTCGCAAACTATTCAATCATTTTTAGCGGTTACTACTAGAAGGCAACGAAGTTCAAATGTATTAAAACCAGTCAGCATCGTTTTAAATATTCGCTAAGAGTTTTATCTTCGAATTAATTGATTGACTGTCTGAGTGACAATAGTAGAACTTTGTGTAGAAGTGTAACAGTTCAGTTTATTATACTCCACTAGACTTAACACTTTCGACGATTGCATTATATTATTCCTTCTTAATTATACACTTACATCAAAATATGATTGCAAAACAATTAAAATTTTCACATAAATACAAAACTTCTTGATCAAAATACCACTTAATGCAATCAATGAACATCTCTAACTCGAATAATTAAACAAGAGAAACTTTTCAAAACATTTAATAAAATATTATGAGATGAAGTAGCACCCAAATTTTAATCAATACTCCTCAGTTTCAATAATTATATTAGTAGTAAAATGTTCTCAGGAATCCTGACGTCTCCATGCAGTTGGCAGTGAGCCAAACCTACTGTGTGAAGATTTGTGATACCACCTACCTGCCGAAACCTAAGCAGGTGAAACAAAGTTTGAACTTGTGATTCGATGACTGGAGGACAAGAGCCTAAAGTGATGAGTCACGCTCCTATTTATATTAACACTGTATGATATTATTGTTAATTTGAATTACCAGTTTTATTATTTATTTTGTTTTCTTGCCTCTTGAGTGGAACATCGGGCTTCATGCTAGAGGAGTTTTGAAGTTTCAGTAGCAGTGATGTTATTTTCTTTCACGGGGTGGAGTCGCTAGCCTCACTCTCAACCTTCCCTCTTTACCCGGCTTACTACTGACGAAGTGAGGTTTAGGAGTGCGTCAGCCGGGGATAAAAAACAACCGCTGACCATAAATATGGTTGGAGGGTATTCTACCACTGAACCGTCGGTGAACTCCAGAGGTACTAATATATTTATTCTTAATCTAAATTTAACCGAAATCCTGCCATTCTTAACTTTATTTATCCTGACCGATTGGCTGAGTTTTTTAACATAGAACTTTGGATGATAACACAGCAGATCAAAATGTCACACTTCACGAATCACGCAAAGGTAGAGAAACAAACTCAAAAGAACTTTCCTGTATCACCTTATTCCGTCCTCTGTTTTCCTACTAATGTCCCTATTATTTCGCTTCTTTTCCTATTGTGCAAACAATGCCTACATTTAAATCAACTCGAATTGTCCATTAAAACTGTAAATCGAAGTCACAATTCAGAAGACAATCAGCCACAGTGCGTGTGTGTATGGGTTTATGTGGCGTTTCGAATGGGATATAGGGATTCAAGCTAGAGCTTTGGAGTTTCAGTAGCAGTGGTTTTATGTTTTCAGGGTGGGGTGTCACTAGCCTCACTGTCAACCTTTCCTCTTTATCGGGCTCACTACCAGTTTAGCGAGGTTCGGGATCGAACCCCATACCATGGGCGCGGTCGGTGAGCGTTCTACCGCTGAACCACCGACTTCGACAGGTGAATTGGAATTCAAATTCTTGTTTTATTGGTTGAAAGATGAGTAAATGAATCGACTGTCTACAACTCTGCTGAATCCGTCAGTCACTATTACTTTTGCACACTGTTAAGTGGAAGCCAATCACTTTTAACTGTTAACTTTTAGGGTCAACAGTATCACCTGTGATTGAACCTAAATAAGCAAAGTCACTTTTCAAGATAATAACTCTACTTGATAGTAAAATAACGTCTTAAAGGAATCATAACAACAACAAAAACAAAAACAACAACTGATAAATAGTGAATATACATACCTGAAAATAATGTCTGAATGCATAAATGCACAAACCATCGTCGGATAAAGACTTTAAAGCTTTATGCCAAGAATAAAACTCCCAATGACTTAAATCACCAAACAAAATTACTGTAGGAAGATTACTCGAGGAGGAATCCTTTGGTGAATAAATTTTATCAAGTGGAAATAAAGCTTAAAAAGAAAAAAATAGGAGAAATGGTTTTAAAAAAAGAACAACGACGAAGGGCATTGGTTAACAAGTTGCAATGTAGTAAGTGGTGAAACTTTAAACTAATCTAATTATTTTACTAATTGAAGTATTGCGACGTGTGCTACTGATAAGATTTATCAGTAGTATATATAAAGAGACATTCATAGGCATGAAACACATCAAATAGCGGAGAGATAGATTCAACGTCAAAAAGAGAAAAGAACCAGCGTTGAGGCAAAACATAGGAGACACGGAAAGAAGACAAAGAAACACAATACGAAGGGCAGAAGTAGGACAACACGGAAGATCTGTGCAAATGACGATTTGCAGATAAGGTGTACATAATTTCGCTATATAGAGATACCAAATTCCAAATAAACATTCCTTTACTAAGTCTCTTGTCTTCTACTGTTACAGTATGAAGTTCCACTCCTCATTAGATTACCAGTAACTTTGAAAAATTCACGACTACCCCTTGGGCATGTATACACGGAATAAAGGATAAGTCAAACTTCCAGATATACATTAGCGATTGAATATTTAGATCAAAGTATGTGAAAATAAAGGATGTAATATATTGAAAGAGACAATGGCCTTGCCAATAACAACGAACTTTATATTTAAAACCTTTCCTAGACATAGGCACAAGGAATCATTTTAAAAAAATAGCAAATCAAGACAACAGAGAATAGAAATTTGTGGCGCTTTTGAATGCAGAGGTCCGGTTTCAGATCGTGAATATCTAATGTTTCAGCTATGTACAGATGGCGTATGCGAAGTCCCTTTGTACAATATTGAGGGACTCTGTATAGCATTGTGAAGCATTCATGTGCGGGTACTCGATGTCCGGAGATGACAAGGTGTTCGAGGATGCAGCTGCCGCTATTCTTCTTTTCTCCTCTTGCTGACTAACCAAGCTGGACAGTGTTCCAGAATACGTTTGTGGACTTGACGTTGCGTACGGCTGATATACTTTGCTCCACACGAACAAGTAAATTGATAAATACACATTGAAGTGGCCAAAAGCGGTATCTTATCCTTAACGTTAGACTGGATTAAGTGTCTTCTGGAGAATGTGATACGTAAGGTGGCTGTTGGAAATGTCATCTTCAGATATCTATAAAGGCGGTCTCTAAGAATTTCTGCTGTGATGTCACCTTTGAATTACAGAACTCGGTCTAAAGGTGTCACTTTTTAACACCTACTAGACTTGTTTGTGGAAACCTGCTGATATACTGGCTGAAATAATTGAATTCCTATGAATCACATCTGGTTCAATGCTGCCAATATACCCCTGTTAGTCATTTCATCAACCTCTTTATTCATATGGCACATCGCCAAAAGCTTTTCCAATAGGCCTACTGTCGACTTTCATCAACGGCTGTCTTCGCTCCAAACTGAAAATTAGATAGCTGGCTAAAAAGAATTAGGAACTTTGGTAGCGCAGCGAACCAGCCAACAACAAAAATATGCAGGAGAAAGTGGAGATGGATTGAAAATGCGTTGGAGAGACTTTCAAGTGACATTGTAGAGTGTGCTACTGACAAGATTTATCAGTAGTATATAGATGTAGGTTGCTAGGATGCTGCCAAAACTGAAAACAACATTTTAAGTCAGTGACTGGCTGCAGAGGTAGAAGTGTTCATTCCTCAAATCTGGATTTAGTTTACGTTGCGGTCAGGAAATAATCTTATTGGACAACCTTTCGTCTTAAGGTTTAACCCTTGGGCAAATCGACGACCAAATTCGAACAGTTTATTGTCCGCTGACCCAACCGACTTTTAATGTGGTTAGAAATGTATAAATATGGTGTATTTTTCCCTGATAAAAAGTTCGTTACCAAGTCTCTTATCTCCGAATGTGAAGTGACCAGTCAGGATTCGAAGGTGATATGAGACCACGTGAAGAGGAGATGAAAGTTTGTGGGCAGTCCTGAAACTAGATGAAAGTGAACAGAGTGCAATAGAGATGTGCTGCTGGAAAACTATGTTCCATGCAGAACTCAAGGAGTGAATAATAACAATAATACCACACAAATTCTTTTCTCAGGAACACCTAACAAAATTATGCATGTTGGATTATCAGATCACAGACAACATCCGTTTTGTGAGGCTGAACAAACTAGATATTTTTAACAAGCACAATAAACAGAACAAGATATAAACATTTTTTCTTGAGGATTTGCCGATAACATCAGAAAAAAGCAGTACCCATTGGAAAATATGATTAGGTTTCATAAGTTTCGTAACTTGTTCATGACCTAGTGCTAGTTTCGTCTAGCTAAAAATTGCAAAACAAAATGGTACCTTTTAGTCTGTAAAAAAGTGGTGAACTAACCTGGTTGTGAGTCAATATTCCTAGCATTTTTGATAGCCTCTTTCAGCTCATCAATGGAAAAAACGGCCACTGCACCTACATGAGCCCAAGTTGTTCCAGAGGATCGTTTAACTAATTCCTCAGAAACTCCTTCTCGTGAACAGTTTAACAAATGACTTGCACTAGTTAAAGTGAGTTGATGAGACATTTCAACTGTTGGCGAAAACATTCTTGATGATACTGATAAGGTAAACAAATGACGATGCATTTCTAGAGAGCTATTTTCTAAGTGAGATCCACCAATAGACTGAATGGCAAAATCTTTAACTCTCTTCTCTAATAATCTATTGTTAGTCACTGAAAGATATCCTGTTACAGGTGTTAAATGCTTCTTCATAAACTCTGAGTCTTCTGATATAAGATCTAAAAATCTCCAGAATGCAGAAGTTGACTCCCTGGCAACGTATTCGCTGTTAAGAAAAAAAATGGAAGAAAGAAAATAAAAAGGTGGACTAGTAAAAATAAAAGTGAAATGTGAACCTATGGTCCACTAGTTGAAAGTTAAATGTCTAGATCACTGAACCATAATTCCAGTCAAAGATGAAGATACTTGTTCGTCGTTTACCTAACCTCGATGACCTGTCGTGATAGTTTCATTACCCACCTAGGTACAGATATATGTGCGTTTGACTTACATAGCCACATTATCTGATTACGCTTTTAGGAATACTTCCACTGTGAAGTCACTAATCGGCCAACAGAAAGACTTATTCATTTACCTCAAACATCTTGACCACCTACGAGGAGCAAGTGTTGTTTAACGGCTGACTTATCACCTGCTAACACTGAAACACATACAATAGTTGTATAGACGTGTGCGACTTCTAGTTAGATAAAGTACTGGGGTTTCCAAAATCAAACCTCTAGATGTTTTCAAGCTACATTTTACATGTAAAACTGTGGCGAGGTTCATGTTCTTCTGGGAGTCGAACCTGCGTTACTCTGTACAGAGGTAAATATAGGTCACAAGAAAATTAGAACAGTAGCCCTTATGAGGAATACTCTAACTCTTCAGAAAGATGCGCCAGCTTCTAAAATCTACTGTACTCTGTATAGGTTGTGTTGGTTAGGAATATTACTCTTTGTGCATGCAGGTGACTTAGTTCCTAAACAAACATCGATCGAAAACGCAATAAATTGAAGTAAAGCCTTTTATCACACTCTCATGCCCAGGCTTTTAAGTACCAAATGTCAAAAATAAGATATCTAACACCTTTATAACTTTTCAGCATTAACCTACTAAAAATACATAAATTACCTGGCCTCTGATAGAATAGGTGTAGTTTTCCATTTTGGAATTAATGTCACAGAAACTCTGTTGTCAGATGAACATAGATTCACAAAAGTGAAGCAAAACAGTAGAAGTATAAATTTCATGGCGACTTCTCTAAAAATAAAAAATAAGAAAACAAATTTGTTTACTTTGTAGTGAATAGTAAAAACACAACACAATAATAAACTATTGGTAAACACTATATTTGCAGTATATATAATAAACTTGGCAATATAAGAGTAGATAATACATAGCTAACAGTACATATAAGTATACTCAAAATAACAGCAATTGTAAAATTAAGATTATTTACAGCTCTTAAACTTTGAATACACGGTGTTACTGCTACACATGTAGAAACAAAAGGATAGAACTGTAAACTTCCTGAAAATGTATGGTCGAATTCAGTTTTCCATGTTAACAAAAAGAATGTTAAAAGTCTACTTAAATTGACAATAAGTAATACTTTGATCATATCAGATATAGTAGTTATTTTACATATAGGGAACAAAAGTACAAGTATCAAACAAGAACATAAACACCATAAAAATACAGATATGACATGAATAAATAAATCTGAACTGAAAGAAATAGAAAGATCCTCTAAGTGAATAACAGTTGTTGGTTGTTCACTTAGCCATGAAACAAAAGCATTTAATAATACAGACATACAAAGTAACTTTCTGAAACCTAAATTTGAAATATTATGAATAACATGACGATAGGCTTCAAGACGACCGATAAGAAGATCAATAGCAACCAAGAATAAATCATATTCAATGTATTTGTCAGAAATATTTCCACATTTAGGACAATGTTCCATTTTAATTATTTCTTCAGTATATTGTGTATAAAGTGCAGAAACATAACTGTTACAATAAATACAATGATATGTGTTTTCCATTACTATGCAAAACTTTGGAAGAGTAGCTTTGTAGAAAATATAGATAAATCAAATTAAATGGGTGCTGATCTTCAAGTGATAACCTGCAACAAAAAAGGAAGTCAATAAGTCTTGAATGTACTTAGGAACCTAGAAGGAGAAATAGACTTTGATGAGTTTATGCACAAAACACCGTTTTCCCTATAACTAAAAGCTATACACTTAAACTGAAAACCTGTGAGCTTGCTTTAACAGATATCCACAATGGATGTATACGTTATATTCCTCAGTAAATAAAATTATCCATTCCCTTTATATACATTTCACTCAATTAAGCTTATGCTATACTACCTCTAATAAACGTCATAAACACACTGGAAATGATGAATGAGCATTTCACCTCCCAAACTATTCGTTGTGATCACAGATGGAATTTATGTTGAATGTGAGGATTGATACTGCAGTGTAGTCACTGGCATACAATTAAGAAGAGAATTTAAGCTAGCTTTCATTACAAAACAGTGTCGTATTTCAGTGGCTTTGAAAAAATTCTGATGGATTAGCACATTTTAAAATGCAGACACCTCTGGAAGACCAAGTAATGGGACTGTAGCACTATTTCGGTGTTGCCCTGAACGTCAGATTTGTTTAGGAGGAATAGAACTATTAACTACTCAGTGAAAGTTAACCTGCCTACTTTTAAGATCTTGTAAGCAAGACAGGATGATATTCAAACAGATTGATGGTCTTAACGTAAAACTTAGCATTCCTACGTAGTGGTTTAAGTTGCTACCTCCTATATCTGCACGCCATGTAAGTGAAAAAAGGGAAAAAAGATAAACATGAAGCGCTGACAATAATTCGGCAGAAGGAAAAACAGGGCAAGTGAAAAATAAGATACCATAACCAAAAAGTTTAACACTGATGGTCATCTACTTTCCAGTATTACTGCCTATAAAGTATGAACTTAGTTCAGTTAGTAAATTTTCAGTGGATAATAACCAATCACAGTGGTGCAAATGTACCCATGTTACATAAATTTATCTCCCTTTCCCTCACTTATGTTACATTTTAACAATCGTTTTCGCCAATTTAATGTACGTGACAGGCTGATACTATATAAGGCAAACCTCCAATACCATGGGCTGATTCTAGTTTCAATTAATAGTTTCAGATATTCAGTAAACTGTTCGGATATGAACAAAGTACCTCAACTAGTGGAATAACTTTACTGTATCACCTGCCGCTTAAACACAGCTTTCTTAACTCCGACTGCAATAAACTGAAAGGACTAAAAAAGCAGCAGTTTTATAATAGATATCTGCACGTCAATTGACTAATACACATTAGTTTATTATAAGTGTGACCATTATTACACTAATCTCCAAACTCTGGCTTTAGACATTAGCAGATATTATCCCAGACGATAACTGGTGGTGAAGTCGTCAATATCTCTTTACACATATATTGGGATTGACTTTAAAATGCATTATTTCAGGTTATAAAAATTTTCAGGAGTCTACTCCAGACAGTCTGCAAGAATATAACTCTGGTTATTGAAAGGAAATGATATGTTCATCGTTTGCTTTATGAAGCAACTTCAACTTAAGCCTGTCTCTTAAGCTACTAACGAAGTAAAAAAAACACAATTCATATACTTCAAGTGCGATGCCCAGCCTATAGGCTCCAAATTACTCCTTGTACAACGTAAGACTGCTGCAAGTGAATGGAAAACATTGAAGTCCTAAAGAAAGGTGACAGCAAATACGACTGACCTCTCTGAATAGCATAGGCAGACTGGATTTTTACTAAGACTTTATGAAGAAATCTTCAGCCTACATTTTCAGATGCGTCGGCATTCGATAGAATTCGTTCACATTCTTAGCTTAGTATAAAACATGAATTGTGTGGCATACAAACAGTAGGAAACTTTCAGTAGCGTCCCAGTCGAGATCCAGCTGGAACTAGGTTTATTGATGCTAAGTGCTAATGAAGTTAAAATGTCTAGTGACAAATGGACATATAAACATTTAGGCTGGAAAATATAGTAGCCAGATGTTTTTAGAGTCAGATTAAACAAAAATATCTTAGTTTTCAAAACCACATTAACTCTATGTTTTGTTGTGGGACCTACAAAATTATGACATGCAAAGTAAAAAATATAAGAACAATGTTATAAAATTTATGAGAGGCAAAAGAAATAAATGAAACCGTCAACAGCAATACTATAACCGAAAATCCAAACAGCATTAGGTAAATATTTCATACAAGCCGCACTGACGTGTTACAATGTAAACACTTGCCTGAAGTGTCGCGTTACATCAAAATTGTGTCATGAGTTAGAGCGAAAATGAAGCCTACCTATTCCAGCAGTAAAAAATATTTTATCAAGTGAATTCCTTTTGTCCTCTAAGCTTCAACATATTATTACTAAAAGTTCTAGTGATTAGGAAAGTTTTTACTGGTTACATTCAAAAACTTTTACCTAAGACGCCAACTTAATCAGTCAAAAGACGTTTACTTAAAGCTCTGATGGTTTCTTAAAACTCTTTGCTTTGAATGCATTATGTTCATCGTTTAAAGTTGAGCACAAGTGTAACAACGAATTTGTTTAATCGAATAGATGTGATCAAACATTTTTGCTGTGAGGCATAGAGTAGGATTGCCTGTGACTACTCACGCACCACCGCTTGTTATTTTAGCTTAAGCCTCAACCAAGCAAAAGACTTTTCAAATACTTCCGTATTGCTATTCGTTCCTTGACTGGTTATGGTCCGAGTCTCAACAAGTACGTTAGTCGAATATTCGTTGTATGCCTGAACGTCATGCTTGCAAGCATGGCAAAGTTCAGTGTGACCTTCTTAGAAAGGTAATAAATTCTTAACCTGATTCACAAGGAAGAAAAGACATAAATAGTGAAGAAAATTTTTTCCATAAGTCATTTTCTAGAGCTGTAAAGACGTGTTTACTTAATCATTCATAAGACCAATAAGATACTGGTAAATCTTATCTGGGAAATGTATCGCCTCATTTGAGGTGCAATCTAGAATGGACGACTAAGTGGAAACTGGAGAAAGGGAAGCTGAAATGATATCATAACTTTGAAAAATGACTAATCAGTTAAAATGTACAAAGTGGACAGAAACCAGTGGAAAGACGGTAAAGTGTTTATGGTGAATCTGAGTGAAAATGTAATGTTATTACATTACGGAGTGACTGACATATGGGACTGATAATAATAAGTAACTTAATAAAATGCAGCGAAATTACGGTAAGAACGTTAATCTGGCCATGGTAAGGTGTGTAGTGCTTTCGGAAGTAGAGGTCCTGTTTTGGGTCCCCAAAAGCCAATGACGATATGTTCCAAGTCTTGTAATGAAATATTGAGGAACTCTGTGTAGCACTGCGACCTAGTCCTGCTGGATTGGCCGACGCCCAGAGTTGTCAGAGTTTTCGAGGTTAGGACTACTGCAACTCTCCTTATCTCCTCTAGCTAGTCAAGCTGGACAGTGCTCCAGAATAGGTTCACAGACCTGGCGTTGTGTACGGGTAATACTCTATACTCCGCAGGATCAGTTAGACTGGTAAATATGCAATGAGTTGGCCAAAAGCTGTATCTTGCAATCAACTCTTCACTGAATTGCCCGTCTGCTGAAGAATGTGATTCATAAGATGGATACCTGAAATGTCTTTTTCAGTTACTAAGAAAGGCGGTTTGTACGAATTTCTGCTTCACTATCACCTTAGAATTCTAGGTTCGTGGAGACAGCTTTCTTAGGAACAGTTGCAACTTCCAACTACGGCGGCTTTTCGTCCATGATTTCGTCCATAAATCTTTAAGTTGATTTGTTACCGGAGAACCGGGCATCTTTCCATTCTTACTTGGGATTCCGCCGCAAATTGCACAAATGATCTTATCGTTCATTGGATGTAGAACCTAACTGTTACGTACCTAGCAAGTTTTAATTCATCTTCAGGTTAAAAACCGATGAATTACGAATTCCAAGTCCTATAATTCGTAATACGGCATCATTTGATTCGACAGGCATCATCTTCACACCTGAGATGATGTACCATCTAGTTTCCGATGATTCTTCAAGACGTTATGGCTCCCTTACAGAATCTACAGTGAAAATATTGACCTGCCCACAAGCTTAAAACCCTTAAGAGGCTTAGTGTGTTGAAGTTCACGTATGATACGATCTATAATAACGCAAGATTTATTACCCACAGCTCCTACAGTATTCGTACCGCGTAGACCAAAGGCAAAGCAAAACACCAGAACTGATTGGCCAAATTACGAAGTATCTTTCGGGACCAAATTACATAACTAGCTACGGATCGTGCACGAACGAACGAATGAACGTAACGCGACGGCGTGCCAAATGGAGTGGATGCTTGACCGTGGGCCTTCAGCTAAGCAAATAGAATTAAACAGTGAGGGTCAGCATTGAATGCTTTAGCTAATAATTCCGGGGAATCGCCTACCACTACAACCTAAATACAAATTGATCTATGATATCGATCAAAACACACACAAATCCTCCTAAGTACCGAAGACAACAGCTCAAGTAACACAGGAAGAGCGTACTGATACACACCCGTATCTGAAACTGCAGTTTCACTGCGTAGTATCTCATAGGAATAGCCGAAGACATTAAACAAAATGGTAACTGCGTAATAGATATCAAGTGAAACTTTTAGCTTAAAACAAAAGAAAGAATACCACCAGGTTAGCTAAACCTACACTGACGAAATGTGATTCACAGGATGTTAGCAAATTCAGCTGTCTATGTGGATATATGTGTTCTAAAACTCATTTGTCATATGTTCACCCTTTTTATCGTTAGAATATTTATAGGTTAGGAGTCAGTGTATCTGAGAATCATATACTCGTATACTGAGGAACAATGAACCACTTGCAGTGCAAGGATTTTTATGCTGATTATTATTATGGTTTCCCTTAATTCCTAGAGGAACATAGGGCTTCAGCCGTGCGTCTCCATTGCGTTCGGTTCTCTGCTAGAGTCTTCACCTGGCTTCATGTCTGTCCACACGTTTTCATCTCCTCTTCACATGACCTCCTCCAAGTCACCCTTGCACTGACGACCAACTCGCAGCTTCCATTTCGGGTTCCACTCAAGGGCTTGTCTAGTGATGTCACTTGATGGTTTCCTCAGAGTATGGCCAATCCATCTCCATTTCTTTCTGCCTATTTGTTTCACAATCCGTTCCTGGTTGGTTCGCTCATTGCCAGAGATCTCTGTTGCTGATCTTTTCTGGCCGGCCATCTAATCTTGAGTATTGAGCGAAGACAATTGTTAATGAAGGTCTGTAGTTTGTTTGAGATGCTCTTTATGACGCGCAGTGCAAGTCTCTGATCGTACAGTAGCACTGACTGAATTCACATTGGAGTTGAAATCCGGATCTTATTTTTCATTTTCATGCTGAGTGTTGTTGACCTCCACACAGACTTGAGAGTAGCGAAAGCTTGTCTTGCTTTTCCGATTCTTGCTTTGATATCCTCGTCAGTTCCGCCTGTAGTTGAAACGATGCTTCCCAGGTAGGTAGGTAAAAGAGGTTGTTTCTTTCAGGTTCCTTCCACTTATGCTGATTGTTGTCTGTTTTATGTTTTTATGCTGAGTTAAAGCCCAAAGTGTCTAATATTGTCTGAATTCAGTGAAAACACCACGATGAATATGATGAAAAGACCGGCACTTACGGTGAATTGTGTCATCTAAGTCACTTCTTTATCTGCAAAGATTTTATTGTTTTTCAGACATCTGCGAATTCGACTTCAGTGTGAGATCGATTTGTCCCTTTATTTCAAAATACATGAAACTACTGAGCATAATGAAGATTGGATTAATGACCAAGAACGATTACACAGTAGTTTTAGTCTCTTTGTGTTAGAATCGAGGATTTAAATGACAAAATCCCTACATGGTCACATTAGTACAAGGTGCTCCAAATATACAGCAAGAATAAAAAATGACCCATACTCTCTTTTTAGTAACGTTAAATTTTGAGTAACGCCATGCTTAACGGTTTTTATTTGACAATGACTCACACACTACTGAGCATTTTAAAGAATGACACTCCAAAATTTTCCTGTACTTCAGACATAAATTGGTGACACTAACAGCTACAGTAAGCGTGTAACAAACAGTTGTAGTCAACTCGAGAAGATAAGCCAGTAATACTTTCAAGAACGATGCCGAAATTTTTAGTATTCGGGTAGGTCCAGGTGATCAAATTATATTAGGTATCTACGAGTCAGAGATAGGTACTTCACCTGTAAATTGACGAATTTCGGTAAAAGGTTTTACCTCTAAACAGCGTACAACAAGTGTAATTGAAGAGGGGAGGCGGTATGCAGGTGTAGTAAGCATTGAGATACCATATTTGTGAAATCCATGTACCATTGCTTGTATTTCAAGTAATATACACTTTGCATTTCCTATGGAGGTAAATAGGGTGCAGTAAACATATTGTTATGACATAAGCGTAGGAAATTAGAAAAACTTAGACAACTGAGTTGTTCAAATCTTGTTTGGTAAGTTTGTGAATTTGTCTGCGGTACGTTGGATCCGCCAGGAGTAACCTCACACTATGAATATTAACACTAAAATAGGTATGAAAATGTTGGGGAGATTATATGGCATATCACCGGAGTAAAGTAGGGCCACCTGCTTTATGCAGTAAATATTTGCGTGGTTCGTTAATCCGAGTCAGGGTTAGTCTGCTTGTCTGATCCATGAGCAAATACCCATAAGTAAAGCAGGTGGCACTACTTCAAACAGAGGATGTGCCACGTAATCGCGCATCAGCGTTTGGCAGATGCCGTCACTGTCTAACATCATAATATTACTTCCGGTTAGGACTAAGATGCCAAATATGTTCTGCGTGCTTTCCTAGATTGCAGGCCTGCATCTGATTCTCTATACAGGTTTCCTGTTAAACAAGTATTCTGTAACACAGGCAGAGTGATGAATCGACAGATAATTGCATACTTATTTTTGATAAAAATAAGTGCTCTATGTGTGAAGGAAATGCCTCCACTGCTTTATTACTGCTGGTGGTGCCCTCAAACGAAAAATATGGTCCTTCTCACTGTAGAAGCAGTTTTCGTGATCCTTGCACGTGTCCGCCGGTATTTCACCTATCTCTACGCCTAACTTCATCTCCGATCTCGTATGCGGGGTACTTCCCCCCTTCCTCACTTCTGTTCGGATTTCACAGCACTCA